CTTTACTATGACAGTGAATCTAACAGCGATTAAACAATTCAAGATTTGAACAATGCCTGGAATATATTCAGATACAATAGATAACCTTCAGCAATGCTTTGTTTTTCCTAATCAGAGAATTTTTTCTTAATGGGATGATACTGACTCTAAAAAATAATTAGATATCAAAATCCCTATAGTATTGATTTAATGTTATTTCATGGTCCAAAATAAGTAAGCATATTTGTATCCCATAGGCCTCAAAATCAAATTTCATCCTTAATGAGGCAAACCTCTGCCCTATGTCTGAGGGCAAAATACGGCAGTGTCTCTCCTCCAGATATTTGAGGATTCTCAAGCTAGCTGGGCAGCCCAACAGCAAGGCATGGCAGGATGTCAGTGTACTCAACAATTGCCTGGGTAACCTTCCTGGAGAGGGTGCTGTGGGAAATTAGGTGAGCAAATGGACTTCTTCAGGTCCAGGGTGTTAAATACAAGAGACAGACACAGGAAAGTCCCCAGACAGGTCACAATCAAATACAAGAGACGAGACACAGGAAATCTCCCAGATGAACCACATACAATCAAATATAAGAGAGGAGACACAGGAAAGCCCCCAGATGGACCACAGACAATCAGGCACCTTGTACCCAGAGTATAGTATGTGGATATGGGGGAGACATGTTGGAGAGGCTGGTGTGAGGGTCCCACTCCCTAGGGAACACTAAGAATCAAGAAGAGAGGGAAACAGCAGAGGCAGCAGTGACTGGACCAGGGGTGGGGATGCAGGTGTCTCTCACTGTGTTCGCTAGATCAGCTGACCTGGCTCCACCTCAGGGTGACATCTTAGAAGACATGAGCTTCCACTCCTCCACTCCTGGAGGTCAGAAGGGCCTTGATGATCTGAGATCATTGTTTCAGAGGTAATTGCAGGGCTGTCCCCACTTGAACCCTGACCGGAAGGTACTCTGGACTGGAAGGGGAGAGTTGGGAATAGCCGGTGAGGGAGGCTCTAAGCTCTACCTGTGGGCACCAGCATGTGTGATAAGAACAGACAGCCCTTGAACATAATTCAAAGTCATAGGAGACTGAATTCACATGGAGTGGCAGCAGAATTATAGCAACAGAATGAATTTATAAATCAGTAGATAAATGAAATTGCAGACATTCACAAGTGGAAATTAAACCACACACTCATATGGAAACAGTGAGTTCAGAAAATTACAATAAAATCAGAAAAAAGATGTCTTGAGAATAATGAAAATAAGGACAAATCTTACAAAAATTTATAGAGGGAATTTTTGTATCGGTAAAATCTGATATTGGCTGGCTTCAAACCATGATCCTCAGATCTCGGCCTCTTGAGTAACCAGAATTGCAGGCATGAGCCACTCTGATGCATCTCTCCAGAGCTGTCTGGGGTGCCCGGCAGGCATCTCTTTGGATTTATGGTGTATATGATAACATGGACCTGCATTTTTCTCATAGAGATCGCAACCAGATGGAAACCAAGGAGTATCTTAGTGTACAGTTGCTGGATAGGAAAGAATTCCATACGAAGGGAGCAAATCCCAAACTGTTTCTAGCAGACTGGTTGAGCCAAGGCCCCCCAGGGCTCCTGCCAGCTGGAGGGGTAAAGGGGAAGGGAAGGGAAAACCCTGACCCCCCCATCTCACAGGAGAGAGGAAGGTCAAAGAATATTTTCAGCTCTGGTCCTCTGGTTTAATGCTTGAGAGACCAAAAAGCAGTATGACTTGTACTGGACAAAAACTTGTGACTGGACAACCTGCCCTCCAGGCTTGGTGTGGCCATCTGTCTCTACTTCCCACAGGGCAGCTGATGGCCACTCCCACACATCCTTGTGGCCACACTGCCAGTAGAGGAAGGACAGGCAGGGTCAGAGTCCAGCTGTCCACCGGGGCAGGGACCTGGTCAAGGTGTCGATGTCATCTTCACACATGTGGCCCTGACACATCCTCAAGACTCTGGCCTGTCGCTAGCCCTAGGTTGTACAGTGGCTCCTCTGAGCCAACTCCCTCCGGTGTTCCCTGTGGTCACTGTCTTGGAACATTAATAAGTTCCTTTTGTTATCGTTTGTGTCTTCGTGTTTTGAGTCATGTATTCTCTATGTAGCCCAAACTGGCCTCAAACTCAAAATCCTCCTGTTTCAGCCTCCTGAGTACAGGTATTCAAGTTGTAAATCATCACACCAGAAAAATCAGTATTTTAGTATTTTGGACTAGGTAAAATGTTAGAAAAAAAGTCATAACAATAAATCTGTGTGATACAAAATTGCAACTTTGAGTACAGTATTTGGTTTGTCTTCCTCAGAGTTTCACTGTGTGATACAAAATTGCAACTTTGAGTACAAGTATTTGTCTGGTTTGTCTTCCTCCGAGTTTCACTCCTGTTGCTGATTTCTCACTTGCGAGGAGTGGCTCAGTTTCCTCTTGTGACTGGCTGTGTGCCCAGTAAGGACCCTCCACCTGAACCCCAAGCCCTCCTCCCTCCTCAGCCGAGCCCTTCCAGTCACCCCAGAACCACTGCCAGCTCCTGTTACACGAGGCCTGAATCCTCAACCGCCACCCCAGGCCCCTCACAGCCATCCTGTCCTAACGCATACCCATCTGCTTATAGTCCCCACTGCACAACTCCCACAGATCTGGTTCCATGACAGTCCAATATACCAGTCACATTCACACACACACACACATGCATTTATAATTTACACATACACACACAGATGAGCACTTACATACACAATTCACCCATATACATTTTCACTCTTAAACACACAATTCAAATTGACCCATGCCTCCTACACCTCATACCGAGACAGGTTCCAAGAAGTGCTTGGTCTTTACCAACAGTCTTGCCTAGCGTCTCTGGAGAGGTGCTGAGCACCGAGATCACTGGATCCAGAACTTCAAATCCACACAGGACACCCAGCATCTGGCCCGCACCTCCACAGTGTCCACCAAATGTGGCCCCCACCCATCAGAGCCTGCATAGACTACAGTCCAGGCACCACAAGAACTACTGCCCCTCATTCACACACCCCGTCAACTTGATTCCACATGGAGGATCGTAGTTCTGCATTGGCAGCCCACTTACCTACACCACCAGGCCTGACACTTCACTTGCTAAAGTCAGTGCCCAAGGTTCTGTCGTCAGCTCTCATATAATCCTAGAGCGTAACCCACCACCAAATCTCTAAGAATTCTCTGCAAATAAACCAACAAGGGGTAGGCATTTGAAAACTTCCTAATTTATCGGAGGAAAGAGCTGGAGCTGCTTCTCAAGATGCAGGGGCCTCTGGGGTGTACAGAGAGTATAAACAAGTCAGTGTGGGGAATGACATGGCACAGATGCCTGAGGCTGGCACTCACACCAGGAGAAACAACCGGCAAGCAGGCAGGACAGATCCTGACATTTTTATGCCATCAGAATCTCTGCCAATGAACTCTGGGGCTTTTGTCTGAGCTGACATGTCCTGTGTTCGTCAGTGTCCGTAACTCCATGAAGGTCTGTGGTTGTAGAGAGTTGTGTGGACTGCTGGAAGACCACGGATTCTACGCACCCAGTGTACACTGGGAGGCAACATCATCCTAGAGTAGCTGTGTTCTCACCGGCCATGTAGCCAGTCATCCACCAGAACTAGCAGAGCCCGGTTTATACAAGGGCGCCACAAAGCCCATCTGCCTGAGAGCTTCAGGAGCCCATTCTCCACAAGGACAGCAGAGGCCACTGGGCATCAGGACCCCACAAAGTCCATTCTCTAGGAGATACTACATCACCACACACGGAGAACAAAGATCAACAGCACAGTGGAACACCAGGCAAATCCAACAGAATTTCATGAGCACTCATGCCCTATGAGACCATGAGTACTTCTATTGATTTGCAAACATATTTTGACACCAATAATGGAGCTGGAATTGGGGCCTTGTGCTCTTGCTTTTTTTTTTTTTTTTTGCTTAAAGCTAGCACTCTATCACTTGAGTCAAACCTTTCAGCTTTTTGATGGTTAATTGGAGATAAGAACCTCACAGATTTGCCTTCCCAGCCTGAATTCAAACTTTGATCATTAGATCTAACCCTCCTGAGTAGGTAGGATTTCAGGCATGAACCACTGGCACTCAGTGTGTAAACTTATTAATGATCCCACAGGAAAGATGAAGGACGCACATACCCACATGCCCTAGTGAGGCTGTGGTCATTAAGGTACAAACCCGGCCATACAAATATTTTATATATATATATATACACACACACACACACACACACACACACACACACACACACACACACACACACACACACACACACACATATATACAGTTAAAATCAGTCTTCTATGGATATGTGTGTGTGTGTGTGTGTGCGCGTGCGCACGCAAATGAACGTGTTACTGTGTGTGTCCGTAAGGGGCTGATCAAGGCAGGGAAGGTTGGAGACAATAGTATCCAGTGGGCAGAGTGTTGGATGGAAGTGGAAATTAGGATGTGAGCATTGATTGGTTAGGAGGTGGTTCTGAATAAATGGTCAGGGTTGGTCTATGAGCATGTGGGCACGAAGGCACTGCCAGACACTCAAGCATTGGGTAAGTGCTGGGATCAAGACTGTACAAGTCTGAGACTCAGATGGCCTCTTGGGAACATCGCACTAAGGCAGCACAAGCCCAGCATGCAGTAGACAAGAGGGTCAAACTCTATGCACTGTGCACCTGCCCCCCAGACCTCCGGAGAACTCTAAGGACAAGCATGGTCAGGAACCTGCAATCCATGTCAAACAGGAGGACAACGTTCCAAGGTCAGGCGAGAATGGGGGCGCAGACAGAACAAGGACTATGGTAGAATCTGAAAAGTTTCTAGGCAGGCCTAAGGAATGGGCTCAAGAGAAGAATGGGTTCAAAGAACGTTCTACTATGTGTGTTTAGAAAGTTGGGACAAGGAGCACGCCAATCTCTTGGCTTCACAACAAGCTCTAGGTAGGCCCATATCCCCTCTGTCACTTCAAGGTCACCGCAGGCTGGCCCAAGGATGGCCACTGTCTTCTGTCTCAGCATCAGGACTCAGGTTGTAAGAAGCCCCACCTGTATTGGAGGAGAGACACCTCTCAGTGATTTTCAGTGTGGCCCTCGGTGATTTCTCAGATCCCAAGTTCCAACACCATCTCCTGTCCCTCTGCAGAATGAAGGCACAGTTCAGACCAAAATTGGTCAAGATGGGTAGGTCATGTGACAGTGACATTGCTTCTCACACGGAGCCCATCACTTCCAAGATCCTCCTGGTAGCAGCCGTCCGGTGCCAAGTGCTGGAGGGACACTGCGCTAGGTCCTGAAAGAACCTAAAGGCAGAGCCCAGTCTCTGCCTATTACTAGACAGCCTGAAAGGGTCAGAGTAGCCCCAAACCCCGGACATTGATAAAAGTAAAGATCAGACATGGAAAGCAGCTCTCAGATACTTTCAGTGTAGGCAATGAAGCAAGAAGAGTGCGCTGGACCCCAGAGCACAGGTGCATACCTGCCAGGCTCAGCCCTGCCTCCTCCTCCTCCTGCCGCTCCCCAAGGTCTTCCTCTGGGTCTCCTGCGTCATCATAATCCTCCTGTTCCAGGCATCTGGACACTGAGGACTCTTCTTTCTCCTCCACAGGAGCAGCTTCAATGTCCTCATAGACACCCTCGGGGGGCAGGTGAGCAGACATGCCAGAACCTACAAAGGACATACCAGAACCTTCCACGATAAATAATCCATGAGCTGAGCATACCCCTTCCTAAACCAGGTAGCTTTCCATGCATGCTGAGACACACACTTCCTGCACTGGCCCCTAGAGAGCACTGGCCCTCAACCACCCTGGACATACAGGCCTGGTGTCCTAGATTGAGTCCCTGGACTCATTCTTGGAAGACCCTGTGCTAGAATAACAGTACAAGAATTGGATGGCAGATCTGATGGAGCCCTGGAAGTGGGAAACTTCATCCAGCTTAACCCAGTAGCAGAATGATACCCACACCCAGCCTCTCTGAGTCCACAGAAGACTCATTTGACGAAAATGCAGGTGATGATCAGAACAGGGAGTGGTTTTTTAGCTAAATCTCTCACTTGCTTTCCCACCCTCTGTTCACAAGAATACCCACTCATGCCAATCAAGACCACCTACCCATACAGACAGCTCTTCTTTGGCACCACTGAGTGCCAAGAATCAGGAAGACCAGGCCCAGGAGGCAGCCAAGTATCAGGCAGGCAATCTCAGGCAGGGTCCAGACCCCAGCAACAGGTGCAAGAGCCCGGGAAGGGGCTGTAGAGGAGGGGGAGATCTCCTGTGTGCCTGGAAAGCCGGGGCCTGGTGACCGTGGGGCTGGATGAAGTCATCTTGGAAAGGAGGAATTTACTACTGCCAGTAACTACTGTGACTCGCAGGGAGAGGTTTGTGGAACAAAACCAACCAGGAAGGAAATCCCAGCTACAAGGCACAGAAGCCACAACATCCATAAGGACGGAAGGCATCTGCGCTAGACCCCACCGCTGGAAGGGAGAACACCTAAGGCTGTGACGTGAGGCCTCCTGTCCTCTCAGATTGCCACCCATGCAGACACAGGAAGGAGAGCAAGAATCTGTCACCTTCCAAGCCGACAAAACCGTGTCTTGGGGACAAATAGAAAGGTCCCCGGGGCAGCGCTGCTGAGCACTCCGTCAGCCTTCTGGGACTGAAGGAGGAGGCGGCAATGACAAAGGGACACCTGCAGAATCGTGGGGTGGGAGGCAGCAGGCAGCCGGCTAGGCTGGAGGCCCACGGCAGCACGGGGCAGGACCCCGGCCTCGGGCTAGTGTGGGAGGCCCTGACTGAGCAGAAGAGGCCAGCGCCAGGGGCCGGCTCCCAAGCCCCTCTCCCCGCCGCCCCTGGGCCCTCACCTGAGCACCGCACGCCCGCGTCCTCCTTGTGGGTGCAGTCTCCGCGTCCCCACGGCTCCGCGGGGCAGCGCCACAGGGACGCCTCGCTGCCCCGGCAGCCCACCTCATCCAGCCACACGGGCCCCGCGCCCGGGCCGAAGGCGGCCCCTGGCGCGGCCTCCACGGCCGGGCCGCAGCCCAGCTGGCGGCACGCGACCTCCGCATCCGCCAGGTCCCAGGAGTCGTCGCACACGGTGCCCCAGGAGCCCGCGTGCCAGAGTTCCACGCGCCCGGAGCAGCCGTCAGGGCCCCCGATCGCCCGCAGAGCGCCCTCCTCTGGAAGGGCACGAGGTCGGCGGGGGTGGCGGCGGGAAGGGAGGGAAGGGCAGGTGGACCGAGAGCTACCTGGGCAGCCGGACGTGGAGGAGCAGTTGTGAACCTCGGCGTCCTCAGGGCCGCCTTCCTTCCCTGCGTGGACATGAGGGCCGCCTCTGCTGTCCCATCCCACGTCCGAAGGCTCTGGAAACCTTCCCTGTGCCCTTTCCTGCCTCCCTGCGTAGGCCAGCAGTTTCCACCCACTGAGGACCACCGAGAAGCTCTCGGGGGCAGGCACACGAGCGGAGGCGTCCCCGTGGGGCGGCTGGGGGCCCGGGGCTCTCGCTTCCCCTTGGGAACCAGCAAGGTGCTCGGGGGCTCTGGATGGCGGGCGCCCAGCCCTGCCCGGAGGGGAGGCCCCGACTCCCCGACTCCCCGCCTCGCCGACGGCACGCTGCTCACCCGCACACAGCACCCAGGCCTCCTCCTCACTGGGACAGGAGTGCCGGGCCCAGGGGGCGGAGGGGCACTGCCACAGGGACCTGTCGTGCCGCTCCCTGCACTCGACGGAGGCCAGCCAGCGGGCCCCGGGCGGAGGCGGGCTGCGCTCCCTGGCCAGCGGCTGCCCCTGGGGCCCGCAGCCCAGCTGCGCGCACAGGACGCCCAGCGAGGCTGCGCTCAGGGTCGGGCAGACCCCACCCCAGGTGCCGTTGTAGAACACCTCCAGGCGCCCGGCGCACGGCCGCCTGCCATGGGTCAGCCTCACTTCGGTGAGCTCTGCGGAAGAGGTGGCCTGGGCACGGGGCCGGGCGAGGGGGACGGAAAGGGGGGACGGGCCAGGGTGACAGGCCAGGGGAACAGGCCGGGGGCCAGGCGGAGGGGTCCTGGCGAGGGGTCCGGGAGACGGGAATGGGAGTGGACGGGCAGGGGGGACGGACGGGGACGGGCTGGGCGCGGGCCGGGCTGGGCGCGGCGACCCACCTGAGCAGAAGACGCCCGCATCCTCCTTGTGGCTGCAGTCGTGCCGGCCCCAGCCCCGCGAAGGGCACTGCCACAGGGCGGACTCATTGCCCAGGCAGCCGACTTCGTCCATCCAGATGGGCCCTGCGCCCGCCCCGAAGCGCGCGGCCCCCCGGGCGCCCAGGGCGCGGCCGCAGCCCAGCTGCCTGCACACCACGGCCGCGTCCCGCAGGTCCCACGCGTCGTCGCACACGGTGCCCCACGTGCCCCGGCGGAGGATCTCCACGCGGCCCGCGCAGCGGCCGGAGCCCCCGGCCAGGCGCACGCGGAGGCTCCCTGCGGGCCAGGAGGGACCCGATGGGAAGATGGGACGGGGCGGGGCGGGGGACAGGATGGGACCAGCCGGGGACGGACACGGGATGGGGCGGGGCGGGACGGGACCGGACACGGGATGGGGCGGGGCGGGGCGGGGCGGGACACGGGATGGGGCGGGGCGGGACCGGACACGGGATGGGGCGGGGCGGGGCGGGACCGGACACGGGATGGGACGGGGCGGGACGGGACCGGACACGGGATGGGGCGGGGCGGGGCGGGACACGGGATGGGGCGGGGCGGGGCGGGGCGGGGCGGGACACGGGATGGGGCGGGGCGGGGCGGGGCGGGACACGGGATGGGGCGGGGCGGGGCGGGACACGGGATGGGGCGGGGCGGGGCGGGACCGGACACGGGATGGGGCGGGGCGGGGCGGGACCGGACACGGGATGGGGCGGGGCGGGGCGGGACCGGACACGGGATGGGGCGGGGCGGGACGCGGGATGGGGCGGGGCGGGACGCGGGATGGGGCGGGGCGGGGCGGGATGGTAAGGGCCGGGACGGGGCGGGGCAGGACCGGACGGGATGGGACCAGATGGGACGGACACGGGGTGGGACGGGACGGGACCCAGGCCCGCTCACCCGCGCACACCACGCCCGCGTCCCTCGCGGCCCCCGCGGGCCCCGGCGCCGAGGCGGACACGTCGCACTGGCTCAGCCGGGCCTCGGAGCCCCGGCAGCGCACGCGGCTCAGCAGGGCGCGGCCCGCGCCTCGGACCGGGGCCGGCGCGTCGTAGGCCCGCTCCGCAGCCCCGCAGCCCAGCTGCCGGCACACCACGGCCGCGCCGCGCAGGTCCCACGCGTCGTCCAGCACGCGGCCCCACGCGCCCTCCAGGGCCGCCTCCACGCGCCCGTCACAGCGGCTCTGACCGTCCCGCAGCCTCACCGCGCCGGGGAGGCCTGCGAGGGAGAGCCGGGCTGGGCGCGGGCAGGGGGCGCGGCGCGCACGGCCACGCGCGCGCACAGCCACGCGTGCACGCACACGCACTCACTCGCACGCGCACTCACACTCGCACACCCACGCGTGCACCCAGGCGTGCACACGCGCACACGCGCGCTCACACTCACAAGCGCACAGCCCCACCGGGCACGGGGCCCCGACCCCCAGCCTCTCCGCCCACCCTCACCCCTCCGCCCTCGTCTCTCCCCCTCCCGACGCCCCGCCCAGCCTCCTCCGGCCCCGCCCCCGTCCCAACGCCCCGCCCAGCCTCCTCCGGCCCCGCCCCCGCCCCGACGCCCCGCCCAGCCTCCTCCGGCCCCGCCCCCGCCCCGACGCCCCGCCCACCTGCGCAGACGGCGGCCGCCGCGTGTCCCGGGGCGCAGGCCGCCGCCCCCAGCGTGCCCGCGGGGCAGCTCAGCAGGTGCGGCTCGGTGCCCGCGCAGTGGAAGGCGTCCGGCCAGCAGCGCGCGTCCCCGCCGCCGAAGCGGCCTCCCGCGGGCGCGGCCGCCAACGCCGGGCCGCAGCCCAGCTGCCGACACAGCACCGCGGCGTCCGCCAGGTCCCAGTGCGCGGCGCACAGCGGCGCCCAGGCGCCCCGCACCTGCAGCTCCACGCGGCCCTCGCAGGCCTGGCTGCCGTTGACCAGCCGGAACTCTGCGGAGACGGGGCCGCCGTGACCACCGGCGCGGGCGGGGCCGGGCCGGGACACAGAGAACGCGGGGCGCGGGGACACGAGAACGCGGGGCGCGGGGACCGGGACGGGGACACGAGAACGCGGGGCGCGGGGACCGGGACGGGGACACGAGAACGCGGGGCGCGGGGCGCGGGGACACGAGAACGTGGGGCGCGGGGACACGAGAACGCGGGGCGCGGGGACACGAGAACACGGGGCGTGGGGACACGAGAACGCGGGGCGCGGGGCGCGGGGACACGAGAACGCGGGGCGCGGGGACACGAGAACACGGGGCGTGGGGACACGAGAACGCGGGGCGCGGGGCGCGGGGACACGAGAACGCGGGGCGCGGGGACACGAGAACACGGGGCGTGGGGACACGAGAACGCGGGGCGCGGGGCGCGGGGACACGAGAACGCGGGGCGCGGGGACCGGAACGGGGACACGAGAACGCGGGGCGCGGGGACACGAGAACGCGGGGCGCGGGGACACGAGAACACGGGGCGCGGGGACACGAGAACGCGGGGCGCGGGGACACGAGAACGCGGGGCATGGGGACACGAGAACGCGGGGCATGGGGACACGGGCGTGGGGGGCGGGCCCGCGAACCGCCCTGCTGTTAACAGTGCCCTACAGCAGGCCAGAGAACCCCAGAGCTCAACCTTCTGGAAAACTGTCAGGACCCCATCACTGAATATGGTCAGCTATAGTGATTGTGAAGAGTAGGAATCAATGAACTCAGGAAAGCCTTGACTGGCTTGGACATTAGGACAGAGGTTTGTGACATGTGGAGAGAGAAGAATTGGGGAACATGAAGATGAACTAGTGGAGACGGAGACCAAAATACCCATGAGAAGAGAGTGTGAACTTGTGAGCATGCATGTGTTTGAACCTCAGTAACACCAAATTGATTAAATATGTGGATCCACACAAACAAGTAGGTCAACAAGCCCAGTGCTGGTGGCTCACGCCTGCAATCCTAGCTACTCAGGAGGCTGAGATGAGGATCACGGTTCAAAGCCAGCCCAGACAGAAAAGCCCTCTGAGACTCTTATCCCCAATAAACCACTCAAAAAAGGGGGCTAGAAGTGGCACTGTTGCTCAAGTGATAGAGTGATAGCCTTGAGCAAACCCCAGCACCAGAAAAAAGAAACAAAAAACTGACAGCCTTGAGAATAGACACACAAAAAAGTGATTGTTCAGTAGAGATTCACCGCGGAATTGACAACCAACTTCTCGTCAAATCTTGAAGATGATGGTCAGAAGTGGCGTGCTGTGTTCATAGTGTTGTAAAGAGAAATAGGATGAGCAGGGATTCTATATCCACCAAAACTATCCTTGAAGAGCAAAGGAGAAGCTAAGATATTTTCAGAAAAACAAAAGCTGAGGTGCTCACGGTGAATAGACAGACCCCACAGGAGCACTAACTAGAGTCTCTCAAGTCAACATGACAGGCAGTTAGGCAGAAATCTTAAAGAAGCCTGGTAAAGGCAGCAACTTAAGTAACAAGGGCGCCAGTATTGCTGTGTTTTTGAAATGCAAATTTCTTTCTATCCTGAACTATTTAAAAGATCAATGTATAAATCTACATTATAAGGTACATAATATATGAAGATATAGTTTCTGAAACTAAAGGTTAAATAATACAACCAATAGGGCTAAATAAAAGTAGAATTCAGAGCTGGGCACCAGTAGCTCACACCTGTAATCCTAGCTACTCAGGAAGCTGAGATCTGAGGATCACGGTTCAAAGCCAGCCCAAGCTGAAAAGTCCCTGTGAGACTCATCTCCAGTTAACCACCAGAAAACCAGAAGTTGCACTGTGGCTCAAAATGGAAGGGTTCTAGCCTTGAGCAAAAGAGCTCAGGGACAGCACTAAGTTCAAGATCAAAGAACAACAACCAAGAAAAAAAAAAGAGAATTATACAAATCTTTTAAGTTTTGTTTTTTTTTGGTCAGTCATGGGGCTTGAACTCTGGGCCTGGGCGCTGTCCCTGTGCTCTTCAGCTCAAGGAGAGCACTCTACCGCTTGAGGTACAACGCCACTTCCACTTTTCTAGTGGTTAATTGGAGATAAGAGTCTCACGGACTTTCCTGCCTGGGCTGGCTTCGAACCGTGATCCTCAGATCTCAGCCTCCTGAGTAGCTAGGATTACAGGCATGAGCCACTGGCGCCCAGCTTTTAATTTTTAAGACAAACTTATTTACTCAAAACATATTGTTATAAAGTCAATTTATATTAAAATTAAAACATTGTTATACATTTAAACATTTAATCAATAATATATTATAAGCAATTATTGAAATATTTAAATAATATTATTTAATAATATATTGTAAGTAATGTATTATTTAAATATTTAAAAATTATTTAAATGTTATTATAAATTAAATGAATAATTTAAAATATATCATTATAAATTTAATTCAGTCCCAGTTACCTATGAAAATAATTTGAAAGATAATGCATCTATATTCTCATGTTTATTATGATATTAACAAGACCCAAGCTATAAAACAAACCTAATCAAACATGATCTGATGAATTGATAAAGAAAATTAATATGTACACTACCCAGCATTAAAAGGATGAAATCAGGACTGGGAAGGTGGCTCAGTGGTAGAGCGCTTGCTTTGCATGCATGAGGCCCTGGGTTCGATTCCTCAGCACCACATAAGCAAAAAAAAAAAGCCAAAAGTGGCGCTGTGGCTCAAGTGGTAGAGCGCTAGCCTTGAGCTGAAGAGCTGAGGGACAGCGCCCAGGCCAGAGTTCAGGCCCCAGGACTGGACCAAAAAAAATAAATAAATAAAGGATGAAATCTTGGTGGGTGCTGGTGTCTCAGGCCTGTAATTCTAGTTACTCAGGAGACTGAGATCTGAGGATCACAATTTGAAGCCTGTCAGGGCAGGAAAGTCCATGAGATTCTTATCTACAATAAACTACTCAGAAAAAGCCAGGCATGACCCTGTGGCTCAAGTGGTAGAGTGCTAGACTTGAGCCAAAGAAGCTCAAGGACAGCACCCACTCCCTGAGTTCAAGCCCCACAACTGGCACAAAACAAAAAAGGATGGAATTTTGTCAATTGTAGCAACATGGAAGGAACTAGAGGTCATTAGGTTAAAGGAAATAAACTAAACAGGAAGCTAAACACTGCATGATCTCAAGTACATGTGGAATCTGAAAAGCTATTGCATAGAAATTGAGAGTAGAAGCTGGGCGCCCGTGGCTCCCGCCTGTCACCCTAGCTACTGAAGAGCTGAGATCTGAGGATCGCGGTTCAAAGCCAGCCCAGGCAGGAAAGTCCGTGAGACTCTTATCTCCAATAAAAACCACTAGAAAACCAGAAGTGGCGCTGTAGCTCAAGCGGTAGAGTGCTTGTCTTGAGCTGAAGAGCACAGGGACAGCGCCCAGGCCCAGAGTTCAAGCCCCATGACCCACAAAAAAAAGAAAAAGAAAGAAAGAAAGAAAGAAATTGAGAGTGGAGTAGAACAGTGGAGATAGTAGCTGTTAGGGAGGGTAAGGGAATGTTGGTCAATGATACAAAGTTATATTTAACCAATAAAAGTAAGTTCTTATTTTTCTACTCTGTAGCAGGATCCATATAGACAATAATAATTATAATAATTATTACTATAATAATAATGTGCTGTATGTTTCAAAAGAAACAACAAAAAAGGCTTTGATGTTTCAATACAAAGAAAAGATCAATCCATCAACCACTTTGGAAAGCAGCATGGAGATTCCTCAAAAGACTCCACATAGAGCTCCCCTATGACCCAGCAATCCCACTTTTGGGCATTTGCCCAAACGATCACAAACAAGACCATACTAAAGCCACCAGCACAACGATGTTTATCACAGCATTATTTACCATAGCTAAGATATGGAACCAACCCAGATGCCCCTCAGTAGATGAATGGATCAAGAAAATGTGGTAGTATACACAATGGAATTCTATGCCTCCATCAGAAAGAATGACATTGCCCCATTTGTTGGGAAATGGAAAGACTTGGAAAAAATTATATTAAGTGAAGTAAGCCAGGCCCAAAGAAAGATAGGTCCCATGATTTCCCTTATTTGCAATAACTAATATATGTCTAGGATAAGAGAAAAGGTCAAAAGCTATGTAATAAGCCAATCAATAAATGGGCAAATGAGCTAAAGAGAGACTTCTCAGAAGTAAATATGGCAAACAGACACATGAAGAAATGTTTGGCATCTCTGATCATAAAGGAAATGAAAATCAAAACAACTTTGAGATTCCATCCAAAAGAGAAATGTTCTCATTACCTGACCTATGAAATGGTAACCCCTCTGAATAACACTTTAAAATAACAATAAAATTATATTTTTTAAAGACCTGAAAATAGAAGAGGGAGAAAAGGAACTGGGGAAGGGAAATAGGAGAGAGGAAAGATGTACAATATAAAATTAGGAAGCATGAACAAAATCAAAGCGTGTATACATGCCTCACGGAAGTATCACAGTGAAGCATAACCACTTAAACAACGTGCATGTGGTAATTCTTGTAACTTTTTAAGTGTCATGACACTGAGGTGTCTTTCACTGGGAAAGAGTCTCTTGAAGAAACTACTGAGCACACTGGGTAGCCTTATGGAAACAGTAAAGCTTACTACTCCACACATTCAAAGGAACAAACCAATGGCAACCCAGACCAATGATGTGGCCGATGGTGCCCCAGATAAGACCACACAAATATTCCAGGCTCAGCACCCATGAGCTGAGCTTCCATGTGTCCTGGAGAGACAAGATCGGGACAGGCTCCCTGAGACGACTGGGGGTAAGAGAGCTAGAGGCTGCCATCTGTCACAGGAAGCAACAAGGAACCAGGGCCACCTAGCTCAGCCTGCCCAAGGGGCCAAGAGGCCCAGAAGACAAAGATAAACACTAACAGTCAAAAGCCCTAGGAGAAAGCACTGAGCAGACAATGCAGGGCTTTTAACTAACACCAAAAGCACAAACAGTAAAGCAAAACTAGCTGTTGTAACCCATCAAAATTGAAACATATATCAAAGTGCACCTTGGAGCCACAGGACTTCGAATCATGAGTTTATAAAGGTCTACCACACAGAATATTCAAAAACACACAACACCATCACATAAAGAAGCATTCTATTTCTGAAATGAGCGACAGGAATAGATATTTCTCTAAAGAGAAAATGGTGAGCAAACGCATGTGAAGCTGGGAAACGGAAGAGAGGAGGCCACGGAAAGCCAACTAATAGAGGAGTCTGGCCCCCAGCCCCGTGACCCGGCTCTCCGCCACCATCACAGCCCAGTCCCTGAGGCCCCAGACTCCACCAGCACAGTCCAGATCCCTCCCGGGCCTGCCCCGACTCACTTTCCCCTGAGCAGACAAGTGCGGCATCCTGGCCGTGTGCGCACCGGCGCCCAGGCTCCCTTGGGCAGTGGAACAGCAGCGACTCGTTGCCCACACAGCGGAAGGCCTCCGTCCACACAGGCCCTGACCCCTGGCCGAAGTGGGCGCCCCCAGGTGTGGACACCGCCACCCCGCAGCCCAGCTCCCGGCACACCACGTGGGCTGTGGGCAGGTCCAGGTCAGCATCGCAGACCGTGCCCCAGGTCAGGCCGCGCAGGACCTCCAGGCGCCCTGCACAGGGGTGGTCGCCGCCCGCCAGGCGGGCTTCCACGTGTCCTGGAGGAAGACACCAAGCTGGAGCAACCAAGGGTAGGGAAGGCTCCATGCAAACTACTGAGCTCAAGTGGCCACCGTTCAGCCCTCCAGGACCCAGGACAACCTGACATAGTTACACCCCAGGGTCCAGAAGCCCAAGGGTAAGTCGGGGGTCTGCAGACTCAGGGCCTTGCCACCCCTCTCCAGACCTCACAAGTGTGCCAAGATCACAAAGACCCATGGTTCCCTGGCATCTGGAAGGACATGGCTGACTGGGACCGCACAGGCAGAATAAGTGCGCACTGCCCCTCAGCCCCAGAACACAGGCCAGATAGAGATCTGAGCTCTGCCCACCGAGACTGCTGCCTGGGGCTTTCTTGAACCTCTACCCAGTAGAAATGCAAAATCCTATCAACCACCATCCACAAGAAAGGTCTCCATTCACCATGTCCCCATGTGGTGAGGCAGACCCAAAAACACAGCCAAAATGTGCTGGCCCAGGGGCTCTCTACCTGTGCACACCACTTGGGTGTAGGTTGGACGGTAACACTGCTCTAGGAAGTTCACGTTGATCTTGCACTGGAAAATGTTGGCCTCTGTCCCCTGACAGGACACAATCTTCTGCTCCTGACTCTCAGGGTCCCCTCCAGGGTAGGTTCTCGACCACTGCAGAGCAGCGCCGCACTCCAGCTGTCTGCAAAACACACTTGCCTCCTGCTGCTGCAAGTCACACCGCAGGGCGAAGCCAGCAAGGTTGATTGACTCTGGGGTCCCTGCACAAGGGCTTCCACCGCCGTGCAGTCTAATTTTTCCCAAGGTACTCCCTAGTGGGATGGAAGACAAACAGACCTGGAAGCTGGGCACAGATTCTCAGCGGTGCTGTGACCAGCCTCACGCAGCATCCACAGCACCCAGGGACACATTCCAGAGCACCGTGGCCACAGCCCCACCCATCACCCTCAGGATTGTGGGGCTGTGGGCTAGTTGCACACAGCACCAAGAAGCTGCCAGGGGAACCCACGACAGGACACCTGCCCGGAGTAGCCAGTGGGTTCCTAACTGCCCCCTGGAGAATCCAATGGGTAACTGCACCCCCTGGAGTATCCAATGGGTAACTGCCTCCTGGAATATCCAATGGGTAACTAACTGCTCCCTGGAGTATCCAATGGGTAACTAACTGCCCTCTGGAATATCCAATGGGTAACTAACTGCCCTCTGGAGTATCCAATGGGTAACTGCTCCCTGGAGTATCCAATGGGTAACTGCCCTCTGGAGCTGTACTCAGCACACAGCAAGAGCTTGTGAAAACACTCTGCTGAGGTAGCCCAGGACGACCCAGGAAAGCATAGCTTTGGTGGCTAAATGTAGAAACCTGGAAATCCTATGAACAGTGATCAAGACAGAGTCCCACACAGGGGAGAGCAGAGATGCATTGGGACAAAGAGGAAAGCCCTCATCCTGCATCAGGAGGAAACCCCAGACCCCTGAGAAAATGAGGCACCACACCTGGGCCAGACTGGTCCTCCTCCCCTCTGGATCCTGAACAAGGAAGGAAGTCCCAGAACTAGGAGGGCTGGGAGTCCTCAGCTGACCTACTTGAGCAGATGATTGACACCACACATTGGCACTTGCAGTCGGCGATCAGGCCCCAGCTCCCCAGCGAGCACTCCCCGAGGGTGGCCTCCTCCCCCTGGCACTGGGTTCCAAACAGCCACAGCCCACTCATCTCTTCAGGCCGTAAAACAAACTGAGGAGCAGCTAGTACATGGCCACAGTCAAGCTGTCTGCAGGTCACTGTGGCCTCCCGCAGGCCCCAGTGGTCCCCACACACAAAGCCCTGCTGGCCATGATGCTGAAGGTGCAGACGGCCCTCACAGTGGTTTGTGCCATCCAGGAGAGTCACAGACTCCGCTCCAGCCGGACCTTCAGGAAAAGAGCACAGGATGGTACAGAAGATTGTGGGGGATTTTTGTTCAGGAGGGTCCATGTTAGAAAGCTTGCCCTTGTTTTCCACCCAGACCCCTCCTTATCTCATGGGAATCAGTACACAGTCACTGTGGTAAAAGGGAAGTTCACAAAAATGAGCACAAGGAGATGTGGTATCAGAACTGTGTCTGACTTCCACCCTGAGCAGACAGCAGACCTGGGTCCCTGGCCCCAGGACTGCAGACAGCAGCAGAGCATACTCACCAGGGGGAGAGGCCCAGCAGGCCAGAAGAACAGCCCCCAGCCCCAGAGGGGAGAGCGCCATGTCTGGCGGGCTTGCGGCTGCAGCTTGTCAGGCTGCAGTCTGGGCTCCGGCAGCTGTGCTCTGCCTCAGGAGAGGACGCTGCGCTGGGGCTGTAGCATGAGCTGTGGTGCCTCCTCCACAGCAGAGCTGTTCTCTGCCACCCTGCGCAGGTGCTCACCACCGGGCTGTGGCCAGGCCCCCCAGCAGCCCAGTGTGAACTAGTTGTGGTTCCTGCAGCTGGCGTCACACACCTCCAGGTGTGACGGGTCCAGGGTCCCTGTACAGCAGCGTTTTGGCTGCCACGAACAAGGCCATGCAGGAGAGCATGGGCTTCCTCTGCCTCACACGAAGATGGGGTGTCCTTCCAGGATCAGTATGTCACGAACAGGCAGACTTTGCAATCTGATCACAATGCCCAAAAGCACGCAAGCCGAGTGACCAGCCAGGATGGACACAGGCTCCTTTGAGGGTGTGCACTTAGAGGCAGCCGAGTGCACTGCCTAGGAGGTGCAAGTCAGCTGCACAAAGACGGGTGGAAAACTAAGGACCATCTGAACAAGGGACACAATGCCACTTAGATTTATTTATTGGAAAGCTACTGAGGAGGACTGACTGTCAAGGGCAAATCATACAGAAAATCCAATTATTCCAATTGGGCCCATCACTATGCATTTCTGAAAGTAAGTTTCATCAAATATATCCCATACTTTAACATATTTAATGGTACATATTTTCTCACTTATGTGGAAGCTAGATCTCAAATACAACTGGACATGATAACCTATACAGGACTCTAGCATTCAGACAGAGTCAGACTAAAGAGGATACTCAGGGGAGGAACCCAAAGATGTCACGCCTCTGAACATTTAAAATAGTATTTAGTAAAACAAATTCTGGAAAATGGAAGCATGGAGTCCTTTGCTGGTGGTGGTGATGGTGGCATGTGTTTTTGCTCTGGGATTTATTTTTGTCATTTTAGCAGAGGCAAAGTGGGGCACAGCAAGGGAGGGGAAGGGTGAGCAAAGCGATCATGGTATTCAGCATACACTGAACAGAAAATGAACTATGCAACTTGTGGGCAGAGATGAGAGGGGGAACTGGGGGAACACAAAGGAAAGGGGTGACATTGTCCAAAAAGAAATGCATCATTACCTCACTTATGAAGTGGCGATCCCTCTGTACAACACCTCAACAATAACAATAAAATGTATTTTGAAATCATTTTAAGCAATAAAACATTCCAGATTTTCTATTTTCTTACGTATTTTCTGCCTTCATATTCTAAAGATCTGAAAATAAGCGTTCAATTTTGTAAACAAAATAATCTCAGTCAAAAAGATATGTTGAGTCCACTACATAATTTGTTGGATCCATAGTAAGAGGAAGGTAACAGTCCCCTCAGTGAGACTTACTAAAAAGTCAAGATGGCGGTGCGCAGCCACCTGTGAGCCCCGAGGAACTGCAGTCATGCCAGCAGGCCTGTGAGGACAAGGCTGGGTGGGAAACTGCACAGGAAGACAAGGGGCTGTGAACACACCTCATGGCACAGGTTCTCTTCAACGTCAGTCCAGGACCCAGATGCAGACGCACAGGTATACGCGGCTGGCATGGGGCCCAGATTCTCCTAAGCAGGAAGGACTCACACGGAGACCCTTCCTGCACTCACCACCCCCCTGCTCCCTGCTCCATGTCCAGTGCAGCCATGGCCTGGCCTGAACGTGAACAGGCCAGGCCCCAAGACACACATCACCACACCTGGTGTCCCAGTCGTTCACTCTGCCCAACAAATGCCCACAGGATTTCTCATCAGTACAAGCAGGCATTTGAAACACTTCGAATTTTATTAGAAGAAAAAGCGGAACACCTCCTACTCAAGGGGGACAGGGGACTTCTGTGCTTCTGGAGGGAAGAGAGTCGGCTCTGGAGAGGAGAAAGGGAAGGGAGCCCAAGGTCTGGAGAGCACAGCAGGAGGTGATCACAGACCAGTGACAAGGGACGGTGGGGAGGGAGCCAGACTTCTGCCTTGGGAGTCTCTAGCAAACTTGGCCTCCTTCAGCTGACCTCTCCTGCTTCCACACTGTCTTCTACCAGTCCATGAGGGTCGGAGGATGTGGAGGATTGCACGGACACAGGAAGCCACCAGCATCAAGTCATCCCCAGAACGAGGGTAGCAGTGACCTACACTAGGAGTGTTCTTAGCCCATCACCCACCAGAACCCCAGGAAGCAATTCTTACACAAACACACCACAGGATTCATCCTGCCTGAGGGTTCCGGTTTGTTCTCCACTCCAAGATACCATGGGGACCATCGTAAATGACACAGGAGAGTTCAGTGATCACCAGGAAAACATGAGAGGCCTCTGTAAAGGCCATCATGAAGATTTATTATGCATGAAGTCTATTCTCCGCGGGCCACCATGGTCTGGTCTGTACTAGATCACCATGATAGGCTATTCCAAACCAGGTCACCATGAGGGTCTACTCGATGCCCACCCACCGTGAGAGTCTCTTCTACACAAGGTCACAAAGAAGGCCCACTCTACATCAGGAAGGCATGGGATTTCATTGAATGGTAAGAAGCCCAGAGGTCATCTGACATAAGAACACTACTCAAGGACACCATGGGAACCACTGGCTTCCAGGACCTCCCCATGTAGATGCCACTCTACATGAAAGCACTATAGGTCCTTCACTGATACTATGACTAAACACTCAAGACACTCAAAGAAGTCTTTTGACTCAGGTTTAGAGGTTTCAGTCCATGGTTGGTTGCACCAGCTGCTTTGAGGTCTCTGGAGAGACAGAACATCATGATGTGGTACATGGTAGAACTTAGCTGCTCACCACACAGTGGCTAGGAAACATGAGAGAGGGAGAAGAGGGAGCTGAGACCCAAATGCCCTTTCAAGGGCATGCATGCACCAAATGACCAAATTTCCTTACACTGTATTCCATGAGATCTGACACCTTCTAGTAACAGGAGAAGCTGGTGCCTAAGCATCAAAACAGAGCCTTTGGAGGTAATTTAAGATCCAAAGTCAACTGACTACATTCTACCCAAGGATACCATGGGGGTCCACTATCCAAAAGAACTTCATCAGGGCAATGCTTTTTAAATTACGATTATTTCCATTCATTTGCAGACATTTTCCTGACCACACAGAAAAGAGAATGGCCAGGATTCCCAGAGGGAATGAAGATCTGGGCCTGAATGTGTGTCTATTGAGGGCTAATCAAGGTGTAAAGGCCATAGGCAGTGGTCACTTGTGAGCAGCTGATAGATGGAGATGAAAGTGTAGGTGTGATCACAGGCTCATTAGGAGAGAAAAGCAGTCACATGGAGAATGTGGTCTTGGATGAACGTGGTCAGGACATGGAGAATGTGGTCTTGGACCACGTGGTCAGGACATGGGGAATGTGGTCTTGGACCACGTGGTCAGGACATGGGGAATGTGGTCTTGTACACGTGTGGTCAGGATATGGAGAATGTGGTGTTGGACACATGTGGTCAGGACATTGAGAATGTGGTCTTGGAAGAACGTGGTCATGACATGGAGAATGTGGTGTTGGACATAAATGGTCAGGACATGGAGAATGTGGTCTTGGATGAACCTGGTCAGGACATGGAGAATGTGGCCTTGGATGAACGTGGTGAGGATATGGAGAACGTGGTCTTGTACACATGTGGTCAGGACATGGGGAATGTAGTCTTGGATGAACGTGGTCAGGACATGGAGAATGTGGTCTTGGACACATGTAGTCAGGACATGGAGAATGTGGTCTTGGACCATGTGGTCAGGATATGGAGGATATGGTCTTGGATGACCATGGTCAGGACGTGGAGAATGTAGTCTTGGAAAAATATGGTCAGGACATGGAGAATGTGGTCTTGGACACATGTGTTCAGGACATGGGGAATGTGGTCTTGGAGGAAGGTGGTCAGGACATGGAGAATGTGGCCTTGGCTGAACATGGTCAGGACATGGAGAATGTGGTTTTGGACACATGTGGTCAGGACATGGAGAATGTGGTCTTGGACACATGTGGTCAGGACATGGAGAATGTGGTCTTGGACACATGTGGTCAGGACATGGAGAATGTGGTCTTGGACACATGTGGTCAGTACATGGGGAATGTAGTCTTGGATGAACGTGGTCAGGACAAGGGGAATGTGGTCTTGGATGAAGGTGGTCAGGACATGGAGAATGTGGTCTTGGACACACGTGGTCAGGACAAGGGGAATGTGGTCTTGGACACATGTGGTCAGGACATGGAGAATGTGGTCTTGTACACATGTGGTCAGGACATGGGGAATGTGGTCTTGGACACATGTGGTCAGGACATGGAGAATGTGGTCTTGGACACATGTGGTCAGGACATGGAGAATGTGGCCTTAGATGAACGTGGTCAGGACATGGAGAAGTGGTCTTGGATGAAGGTGGTCTGGACATGGAGAATGTGGCCTTGGATGAACGTGGTCAGGACATGGAGAATGTGGTCTTGGATGAAGGTGGTCAGGACATGGAGAATGTGGCCTTGGACACATGTGGTCAGGACATGGAGAATGTGGCCTTAGACACATGTGGTCAGGACATGGAGAATGTGGTGTTGGATCATGTGGTCAGGACATTGAGAATGTGGTCTTGGATGAAGGTGGTCTGGACATGGAGAATGTGGCCTTGGATGAACGTGGTCAGGACATGGAGAAGTGGTCTTGGATGAAGGTGGTCTGGACATGGGGAATTTGGTCTTGTACACATGTGGTCAGGACATGGAGAATGTGGTTTTGGACACATGTGGTCAGGACATGGAGAATGTGGTCTTGGATGAAGGCGGTCTGGACATGGAGAATGTGGCCTTGGATGAACGTGGTCAGGACATGGAGAAGTGGTCTTGGATGAAGGTGGTCTGGACATGGGGAATGTGGTCTTGGATGAACATGGTCCGGAATGCTCTCTGAAGTGTGGTCGTGAAGGCATTGAACACATCCCCAAGTGTCCAGTATGTGTTGGGACCACGACAAGCCAGGTTGGACTCTCAGGTCCTCCACCTTGGGCTGAGGCAGCACAGCCCTGCCTACAGTTGACAGGAGGTACGTAGAAACCCACATACTCCTCAGAACTATGAGGAAAGGGTGACCAGAAAACCCATAAAGGCTGCTTTAAACATGAGGACAAAAGTCTGCAATGGGGCAGAACACAATGAGGGCCATAGTAGAGTATGACAAGTTTCTGGGAAAGACTGAGGATGGATGGGTGGGTGGGTGGACAGATGGAGGGATGAGCTCCAAAGGAGCTTAATACCATGTTTAAAGAATGAGAACGAGGAAGACCCCGGTCTCCTGGGTTCCTTTATACCATGCTCTGGACAGGCTCATGTCCCCTGAGGTCAGTGCGGGGTCATCACATGCTGGCCCGTGCCAAGATCTGTGCTGGTCTGAGCATCAGGACCAAGGCTGTCAGGAGCCCCATCTGTGTTTGACAAGAGACATACCCAGTCACCTCCAGGGACTGCTCAGAGTGCCAGGCATCCTCAGCCCTGCTTTCCCTCTGCATAGTGACACACAGCTGCACAGGACCGGGCAGGTGACAGTGAGATCGCTTCTCACACTGAGACCGCCTCCCCTGCCACTGTGCACCAGGGTCCCTCCAGAAGGTGCTTGAGAACCCTCTGGGCACGTATGAAAGAGCTCAAAAGGAAACCAAAGCCCACAAGTCTGCCTGTTACAAGACTCTAGCCTACGGAGCAGCTTTAAGGGCAAAATGCCCTAGGCCAGAGATGGGATTGAGGCTCAGGGACACAGAAAAGCAACGCTGATTCTTTAAATATAGGTGCCAGCCAGAGCAGAGCTCCCTGCATGAGAACAGTACAGCAGGAGGAGGGCCACGGACCCCAGGGCACAGAGGTGCACACCCGCCGGGCTCAGGAAGGCCCCGTCCTCCTCTTCTTCCTCTTCCTCCTCCTCCTCCTCCTCTCCAGAGTCTTCCTCTGTGTCTCCCACATCGTCATAATCCTGCTCCTGCACCAGGTCTCTGGACACTGTGGGCTCCTCTTGCTTCTTCTCCACAGAAACAGCTTCAATGTGCTCGTAGATACCTTCTGATGGCAAGTGCCCAGACATTCCAGAACCTGCAAACGCCACACCAGAACCACCTAAGACAAAGCTCTCCTGCAGGTGGAGCCCTCCCTGGCCCTGTATCCCCCATGGGTGCTAAGACAGATGAACCCCTTACTGCTGGGCACACAGGCTGTGTCCTAGGGAGAGATGGCTGGTACAGGCACTACACTTATTCCTGAGTGATAATGAAGGGGTTGGGTGGCAGACAAATATTTCCAGAACCCTGAGAAGACAACATCTCTTCATCCAGCCTATCTCAGAAGAAGAGGGGACTCTTCTCCCAACAGCTCAGGCATGCAAAGAAGTCCACCCACTCGCGGCTGGCCTGGAGACTAGCTAGTACACACGGCAGGGACCAGAGCAGAGAGGACCTGCTGTGGCCATGGTCTCAGAGTTTCTCCCCACTCTGAGTCGTCACATACCCATGCTGGCAGCTCTGCCTCGGCACCACAGAGCACCCAGGCCCAGGAGGGTCAGGGCCAGAGAGCAGCCAAGGACCAGGCAGGAGATCTCAGGCAGAGTCCAGACCAAATGCACAGGCAGAGGAGCTGGAGAAGGGGCTGTGGGCACAGAGAGAGGCGGGGCCTCCTGTGGGCCTGAACTGCCCAGGGCTTTGTGACCCTCAGCCCCTCAGGAAGGGGCGGGGCACCCACAAGGCCTCCAGACGTCTGCACAGACACGGCCCCAGGCAGAGGGCCAACCTGCTGGTGCGCAGGGCCCGCGTAGGAGCATCTAGGTGGAAGTTCCCAAGTGGACCTGCAGAGACCGTGGGTGGAAGGACCCCAGGGAGGCCCCTTGGAAAGTCCCGGTGAGAGAATCCCGCTGTGTGCACTAAGGCAGGGTGCGGGTGGGACCTGGTGTGGGCCCCAGGGTCTCACTGTGGTCACTGCCCTCCTCAGCTCCGCGTTGGACGTGAGCTGTGACACCCAAATGTGCTGGACCCCACAGTCAGCAAGGGAAAGACCTAAGAAGTAGCCGCTGGAGAGCTGGGGCCTCTGTCCCCCACAGGGTCAGGAAAAAGCATTGCCCATGTAGGCTGGGCAGCCATCCCTAAAGGGCCGGACCAGCTAAAGAAGAGATGACGGGCCAGGATTCCACAGGTGCCCAGCACTGGGCAGAGCTGAGATCCACCTCAGGCCGTCTAGGCACTGAGGGGCAGGAGGAGAATGGGCGTGAGAACAAGTCGCCTACCCAGTGCCGTGGCACCTGCAGGAGAAATGCTGGCGGGAAGGCATCGACTGCCCTCAGCAGCACATCCTGTGCCCCACAGATGCCTGTGCTGCCCTACCCAGCAGAGCCTCTGCCTCACGGCCCAGGCGAGGCGATCTGCCCGAGCAGAAGGTAGGATCACCCTAAACTCGCCCCCGGGCCCTCACCTGAGCACCGCACGCCCGCGTCCTCCTTGTGGGTGCAGTCTCCGCGTCCCCACGGCTCCGCGGGGCAGCGCCACAGGGACGCCTCGCTGCCCCGGCAGCCCACCTCATCCAGCCACACGGGCCCCGCGCCCGGGCCGAAGGCGGCCCCCGGCGCGGCCTCCACGGCCCGGCCGCAGCCCAGCTGGCGGCACGCGACCTCCGCATCCGCCAGGTCCCAGGAGTCGTCGCACACGGTGCCCCAGGAGCCCGCGTGCCAGAGTTCCACGCGCCCGGAGCAGCCGTCGGGGCCCCCGATCGCCCGCAGAGCGCCCTCCTCTGGAAGGAGATGTGAGGTTAAGGTGGCGTTGCATCTGGATGTGCAAGGCAACTGGGAGGCAGACTGACGGTACCGTGGCAGCTGAGTGGGGATGAGCAGTTGAGTGTCTCCCCAGAGGCCTGTGGTACTGCCTGTGAATGTCCTGTGGGAAGACACAGAGCGTAAACCCCAGGAACTCCACAGAATCCAGCTGTGGGCCACCATGACCCACGGGCAGGGCCTGGGCTCTGGCAGACACACAGCCTTCCACGGCACCTCTGAGACCACAGCACCCACCTGAGCAGGAGATCCAGACCTCCTCTCCTGGGGCACAGGACTGAGGGTGCCAGGGCGAGGAGGGACACTGCCACAGAGTGGAGCTGTGTGGCCTGCGGCACTCAATTCTGTCGACCCAGGAGATGCCTGAGCCTGCCGGAGCCGGGGGCCTGCTTTCCAGCCAGCCCCAGTCCCCACACCCCAGCTGCCTGCAGATGACAGTCACGGAGACATCCCTGAGGGCATTGCTGCACACAGCACCCCAGGACCCATTGTACAGCACGTCCAGCCACCCAGCACAGTCTCTGCTACTGCCTCGAAGCCTCAGTGCCACGGACTCTGCAGGACAAGCACAGAGAAGCCCTGTGTCAGGCTCCGAGCCTGTTCTCAGAGGGAGAAGCCCAGCAGAGGGCATCTCAGCTGCCCTCAGTGTCTTACCCAGCATGCCCTTGGCATCACTGGCACATGGGTAGATCCATCTATTGTGAAAAATAGTGAGGAGGGTACTCAAAGACTAGAAATTCCATGGGCTCCAGTTATGCCACAGCTAGATATATATCTAGTGTGGTTTTAAGGAAATGTCTCCAAGAGACTCACTGCTGAAGGCGTGGTCCTTCATCTTCCGCTAGTGCTGCGACTTGAGAAGACGATGGAATCTTTTGCTGGTGGGGCCTTGTGGGAAGTAGGGTGCTAGGGGTGCTTTGGAGACTGTGCTGTCCTGTGCCTCTGTTTTCTCTCTGTTCTCTGGCACCATGAGCTAGGCTCCAGAGTTGCCCTTACCCTCCCTATGAGCTCTATTCCTGGCCCAGAAACAAATGGGCTGACGAAAAATCTGACACAGTACCCAAAGGAAATTGTCATATGTCAAAGACCCATGACCCTCTTTTCATTGCACATACATGTCCATTAGCACATAAATGACGCAGGAAATGCTTTTCTGGCTATACATATAGATATGAAAACAGATATGGATAAAGAAGAATGTTAGCCTTTTAAAAAAGAATCCTAAGTGGGAATGATAGTGTGTGCCTGTAATCCCAGCCTCACAAGTAGGAAATACAAGTAGGAAGATTATAGTTCAGGCTGGCCTGAGCGTGAACTCAACACACAAAGTGCCAAAAGCCAGTTGTCCACACTTCAACTCAAGGCACTCAAGAGGCTGAGACCTGGAGGATTAAGGTTCAGAGTTAGCCCAGGCAGAACCAAGACTCCGTCTTTTATTAACCAGTAAAATGCCAGGCTGGAGATATGATCCACATTGAGTGTCAGTCATGAAAAAAAACAAGTAAAAGAGAGCACTAGGCCCTTGGTTCAAGCTTTGGTACTAGAACTATATATCTCCAATGTAAAAAGGGTTGAGTGGGTAGCTCAAGTGGTAGAGCCACTGCCTGACAAGTGCCCAGCCCTGAGTTCAAACCTCAATACTTAAAAAAATAGAAGATGGAAGGAGGAAGAGGATGAAGGAGGAGAGGAGAAATGATCACACGTAATAATCGACAGCCCTAGAGAATATCGCATTAAATAAATCAGACACATAATGACAAATAGTGCATAATATAAAATATTAAATATAAAAATATAAAATGTTAAATACAAAGAAACAAAATTAAATTGTGGGGAAGTAGGGAAGAGGGAAGTAGGTCAAAGGAAGGCAAGTTTAAGATTAAATGTGTAGCAGAGAACTAGTGTCAGTATATTGTATTGTATACTAAAAACCAGGCTAATAGAAAAGATTTCACATTCTTTTACCACAGAAACAAAATTAGGTGAATTGCTGGGTATCTTAATTGACTCGATTTTGGCAATCATTCCAGCATACATATGTATATCAAAGCACCACACACTTTTAAATACATACAATTAAAAATAAAATAATGGGATGAGGAAAGTAACGGCTTTGAGGAGTTGCCGGAAGTTTTTCAGAGAGTGAAAAGGGAAAAGCATCCAGATCCAGGGATCTAGATCCTAATGGATTTGGTCTACAAATATTCTCCAGGATACAGTGAAGCCACAACATAACCATACTTCCTGCAGCACTACTTACCATGGCCCAAGTAAGGAATCAGTCCAGATAGCCCTCAATGGACAAAGGGATCAAGGAAATGTGCCGTGCGCGTGTGTGCACACGCACACACACACAAATGTGCACACACACATGTACGTACACACACAAATACACATGCACACACAAACACGCACGTACACACACACACAAACATGCACGCAATGGAATTTTACTCATCCTGGAAAGAATGATATTTTACCATTTAAAGAAATGGAAAGACCAGAGAAAATTATGTTAAATGAATTGTCAGGCCTAGAGAGACACAGGGTGAATATTTCCCTCATATGTGGAATATGGATTAGTTTGCAGACTCATAAGTAAGTACATTGAATGATACCTACAAATGGGGCTGGGAAGATGGCTCTGTGGTAGAGTGCTTGCCTTGCATGCATGAAGACCTGGGTTCAATTCCTCAGTACCACATACACAGAAAAAGCCAGAAATGGCACTGTGGCTCAAGTGGTAGAGTGCTAGCCTTGAGCAAAAACAGCTCAGGGACAGTGCCCAGGCCCTGAGTTCAAGCCTCAGGACTGGCAAAAAAAAAAAAAATGTAAAATGGTAAATTCAAGGGAAAACTCAAACTATAATTCCTTAGAAAGGCAAAGTCACAGCTCAACAAAATAAACACACTAGGAAGCTGGCATTTGAAAGGGGTGGACCTGGGGAGAAGAGGGGGAGAATTCAGCCAAGAAGTCAATGTATATCCTACCAAATTAAGAGTAAGGGAGGAGTGGTTAGGAAAGAGACAGCTGGGAATGTTGGAAAGGGTGACATTGATCTAAATGGACTGTCTTCATAAACTGCTCTATTAAACGGTAACTCCTTTGCACAACTACTTAAAGATAAATTTTAAAAAGAAAAATAATCCTCTCCTAGAGTCACATGTGTGTGTATATGTGTGTGTGTGTGTGTGTATATATATATATATATACATATATATATATATATATATATATATATATATGGCAGAGAGAAAACAGCAAGAGTATCAAGTCACATAGGAACCCCACCGTGCTGCTAGCAGATTTACCATCAGACCAGAAGAAAATTCAAAGTCCTAAAAAAGAAAATGCCAGCCAAGAATACAATATCCTTTAGGAAAGGATAATTTGCAAGTCAAGTAAACACTGAGGACTTCATCCACACATCAGCCTTATAAGAATGCTTACAGAAGCCTATTCTAGAAGCAAGAGGATGAGAAATGGCATCATGAAAACATACAAAAAGACAAAATTCAGCAGTAGAGCATATGTACCAAAGAGAGGAGCTGGAACACTAATACCAACCCACAAAGACGATCAAAAGAAGAAGGAAGAAAAACAATACAAATGCACCCAAAACACTAACAAAATGGCTCGCGTGCGTATTTAACAATAATAGCTTTGAATGTAACAATATTAACTTCCTCAGTTAAGTTATGACCTGGCCACCATGTGTTACCCACAAGAAATTCACCTCACCAGAGAAGACACGGACCAGGAGGGAGGAGAGCAAAAGCATTACAGCAAATCAAAGCTTAGGAGACGTAGCTGTGCTCATATTAGATAAAGAAGGTCAAGTTAAAATCAGAAGAAAAAGAGCCGGTCCCCCGCGGCTCACACCTGTCATGCCAGCTACTCCGGAGGCTGAGATCTGAAGGTCATGTGTCGAAGCCAGCCCGGGAAGGAAAGTCCATGAGACTTCTCTCCAGTGAGCTTGGTGCCCGGCTGCCCCCGGGACTCCTCGGAAGCCGACCCACCTGAGCAGAAGACGCCCGCATCCTCCTTGTGGCTGCAGTCGTGCCGGCCCCAGCCCCGCGAAGGGCACTGCCACAGGGCGGACTCATTGCCCAGGCAGCCGACTTCGTCCATCCAGATGGGCCCTGCGCCCGCCCCGAAGCGCGCGGCCCCCCGGGCGCCCAGGGCGCGGCCGCAGCCCAGCTGCCTGCACACCACGGCCGCGTCCCGCAGGTCCCACGCGTCGTCGCACACGGTGCCCCACGTGCCCCGGCGGAGGATCTCCACGCGGCCCGCGCAGCGGCCGGAGCCCCCGGCCAGGCGCACGCGGAGGCTCCCTGCGGGCCAGGAGGGACCCGATGGGAAGATGGGACGGGGCGGGGCGGGGGACAGGATGGGACCAGCCGGGGACGGACACGGGATGGGGCGGGGCGGGACGGGACCGGACACGGGATGGGGCGGGGCGGGGCGGGGCGGGACACGGGATGGGGCGGGGCGGGACCGGACACGGGATGGGGCGGGGCGGGGCGGGACCGGACACGGGATGGGACGGGGCGGGACGGGACCGGACACGGGATGGGGCGGGGCGGGGCGGGACACGGGATGGGGCGGGGCGGGACACGGGATGGGGCGGGGCGGGGCGGGGCGGGACACGGGATGGGGCGGGGCGGGGCGGGACACGGGATGGGGCGGGGCGGGGCGGGACCGGACACGGGATGGGGCGGGGCGGGGCGGGACCGGACACGGGATGGGGCGGGGCGGGGCGGGACCGGACACGGGATGGGGCGGGGCGGGACGCGGGATGGGGCGGGGCGGGACGCGGGATGGGGCGGGGCGGGGCGGGATGGTAAGGGCCGGGACGGGGCGGGGCAGGACCGGACGGGATGGGACCAGATGGGACGGACACGGGGTGGGACGGGACGGGACCCAGGCCCGCTCACCCGCGCACACCACGCCCGCGTCCCTCGCGGCCCCCGCGGGCCCCGGCGCCGAGGCGGACACGTCGCACTGGCTCAGCCGGGCCTCGGAGCCCCGGCAGCGCACGCGGCTCAGCAGGGCGCGGCCCGCGCCTCGGACCGGGGCCGGCGCGTCGTAGGCCCGCTCCGCAGCCCCGCAGCCCAGCTGCCGGCACACCACGGCCGCGCCGCGCAGGTCCCACGCGTCGTCCAGCACGCGGCCCCACGCGCCCTCCAGGGCCGCCTCCACGCGCCCGTCACAGCGGCTCTGACCGTCCCGCAGCCTCACCGCGCCGGGGAGGCCTGCGAGGGAGAGCCGGGCTGGGCGCGGGCAGGGGGCGCGGCGCGCACGGCCACGCGCGCGCACAGCCACGCGTGCACGCACACGCACTCACTCGCACGCGCACTCACACTCGCACACCCACGCGTGCACCCAGGCGTGCACACGCGCACACGCGCGCTCACACTCACAAGCGCACAGCCCCACCGGGCACGGGGCCCCGACCCCCAGCCTCTCCGCCCACCCTCACCCCTCCGCCCTCGTCTCTCCCCCTCCCGACGCCCCGCCCAGCCTCCTCCGGCCCCGCCCCCGTCCCAACGCCCCGCCCAGCCTCCTCCGGCCCCGCCCCCGCCCCGACGCCCCGCCCAGCCTCCTCCGGCCCCGCCCCCGCCCCGACGCCCCGCCCACCTGCGCAGACGGCGGCCGCCGCGTGTCCCGGGGCGCAGGCCGCCGCCCCCAGCGTGCCCGCGGGGCAGCTCAGCAGGTGCGGCTCGGTGCCCGCGCAGTGGAAGGCGTCCGGCCAGCAGCGCGCGTCCCCGCCGCCGAAGCGGCCTCCCGCGGGCGCGGCCGCCAACGCCGGGCCGCAGCCCAGCTGCCGACACAGCACCGCGGCGTCCGCCAGGTCCCAGTGCGCGGCGCACAGCGGCGCCCAGGCGCCCCGCACCTGCAGCTCCACGCGGCCCTCGCAGGCCTGGCTGCCGTTGACCAGCCGGAACTCTGCGGAGACGGGGCCGCCGTGACCACCGGCGCGGGCGGGGCCGGGCCGGGACACAGAGAACGCGGGGCGCGGGGACACGAGAACGCGGGGCGCGGGGACCGGGACGGGGACACGAGAACGCGGGGCGCGGGGACCGGGACGGGGACACGAGAACGCGGGGCGCGGGGCGCGGGGACACGAGAACGTGGGGCGCGGGGACACGAGAACGCGGGGCGCGGGGACACGAGAACACGGGGCGTGGGGACACGAGAACGCGGGGCGCGGGGCGCGGGGACACGAGAACGCGGGGCGCGGGGACACGAGAACACGGGGCGTGGGGACACGAGAACGCGGGGCGCGGGGCGCGGGGACACGAGAACGCGGGGCGCGGGGACACGAGAACACGGGGCGTGGGGACACGAGAACGCGGGGCGCGGGGCGCGGGGACACGAGAACGCGGGGCGCGGGGACCGGAACGGGGACACGAGAACGCGGGGCGCGGGGACACGAGAACGCGGGGCGCGGGGACACGAGAACACGGGGCGCGGGGACACGAGAACGCGGGGCGCGGGGACACGAGAACGCGGGGCATGGGGACACGAGAACGCGGGGCATGGGGACACGGGCGTGGGGGGCGGGCCCGCGAACCGCCCTGCTGTTAACAGTGCCCTACAGCAGGCCAGAGAACCCCAGAGCTCAACCTTCTGGAAAACTGTCAGGACCCCATCACTGAATATGGTCAGCTATAGTGATTGTGAAGAGTAGGAATCAATGAACTCAGGAAAGCCTTGACTGGCTTGGACATTAGGACAGAGGTTTGTGACATGTGGAGAGAGAAGAATTGGGGAACATGAAGATGAACTAGTGGAGACGGAGACCAAAATACCCATGAGAAGAGAGTGTGAACTTGTGAGCATGCATGTGTTTGAACCTCAGTAACACCAAATTGATTAAATATGTGGATCCACACAAACAAGTAGGTCAACAAGCCCAGTGCTGGTGGCTCACGCCTGCAATCCTAGCTACTCAGGAGGCTGAGATGAGGATCACGGTTCAAAGCCAGCCCAGACAGAAAAGCCCTCTGAGACTCTTATCCCCAATAAACCACTCAAAAAAGGGGGCTAGAAGTGGCACTGTTGCTCAAGTGATAGAGTGATAGCCTTGAGCAAACCCCAGCACCAGAAAAAAGAAACAAAAAACTGACAGCCTTGAGAATAGACACACAAAAAAGTGATTGTTCAGTAGAGATTCACCGCGGAATTGACAACCAACTTCTCGTCAAATCTTGAAGATGATGGTCAGAAGTGGCGTGCTGTGTTCATAGTGTTGTAAAGAGAAATAGGATGAGCAGGGATTCTATATCCACCAAAACTATCCTTGAAGAGCAAAGGAGAAGCTAAGATATTTTCAGAAAAACAAAAGCTGAGGTGCTCACGGTGAATAGACAGACCCCACAGGAGCACTAACTAGAGTCTCTCAAGTCAACATGACAGGCAGTTAGGCAGAAATCTTAAAGAAGCCTGGTAAAGGCAGCAACTTAAGTAACAAGGGCGCCAGTATTGCTGTGTTTTTGAAATGCAAATTTCTTTCTATCCTGAACTATTTAAAAGATCAATGTATAAATCTACATTATAAGGTACATAATATATGAAGATATAGTTTCTGAAACTAAAGGTTAAATAATACAACCAATAGGGCTAAATAAAAGTAGAATTCAGAGCTGGGCACCAGTAGCTCACACCTGTAATCCTAGCTACTCAGGAAGCTGAGATCTGAGGATCACGGTTCAAAGCCAGCCCAAGCTGAAAAGTCCCTGTGAGACTCATCTCCAGTTAACCACCAGAAAACCAGAAGTTGCACTGTGGCTCAAAATGGAAGGGTTCTAGCCTTGAGCAAAAGAGCTCAGGGACAGCACTAAGTTCAAGATCAAAGAACAACAACCAAGAAAAAAAAAAGAGAATTATACAAATCTTTTAAGTTTTGTTTTTTTTTGGTCAGTCATGGGGCTTGAACTCTGGGCCTGGGCGCTGTCCCTGTGCTCTTCAGCTCAAGGAGAGCACTCTACCGCTTGAGGTACAACGCCACTTCCACTTTTCTAGTGGTTAATTGGAGATAAGAGTCTCACGGACTTTCCTGCCTGGGCTGGCTTCGAACCGTGATCCTCAGATCTCAGCCTCCTGAGTAGCTAGGATTACAGGCATGAGCCACTGGCGCCCAGCTTTTAATTTTTAAGACAAACTTATTTACTCAAAACATATTGTTATAAAGTCAATTTATATTAAAATTAAAACATTGTTATACATTTAAACATTTAATCAATAATATATTATAAGCAATTATTGAAATATTTAAATAATATTATTTAATAATATATTGTAAGTAATGTATTATTTAAATATTTAAAAATTATTTAAATGTTATTATAAATTAAATGAATAATTTAAAATATATCATTATAAATTTAATTCAGTCCCAGTTACCTATGAAAATAATTTGAAAGATAATGCATCTATATTCTCATGTTTATTATGATATTAACAAGACCCAAGCTATAAAACAAACCTAATCAAACATGATCTGATGAATTGATAAAGAAAATTAATATGTACACTACCCAGCATTAAAAGGATGAAATCAGGACTGGGAAGGTGGCTCAGTGGTAGAGCGCTTGCTTTGCATGCATGAGGCCCTGGGTTCGATTCCTCAGCACCACATAAGCAAAAAAAAAAAGCCAAAAGTGGCGCTGTGGCTCAAGTGGTAGAGCGCTAGCCTTGAGCTGAAGAGCTGAGGGACAGCGCCCAGGCCAGAGTTCAGGCCCCAGGACTGGACCAAAAAAAATAAATAAATAAAGGATGAAATCTTGGTGGGTGCTGGTGTCTCAGGCCTGTAATTCTAGTTACTCAGGAGACTGAGATCTGAGGATCACAATTTGAAGCCTGTCAGGGCAGGAAAGTCCATGAGATTCTTATCTACAATAAACTACTCAGAAAAAGCCAGGCATGACCCTGTGGCTCAAGTGGTAGAGTGCTAGACTTGAGCCAAAGAAGCTCAAGGACAGCACCCACTCCCTGAGTTCAAGCCCCACAACTGGCACAAAACAAAAAAGGATGGAATTTTGTCAATTGTAGCAACATGGAAGGAACTAGAGGTCATTAGGTTAAAGGAAATAAACTAAACAGGAAGCTAAACACTGCATGATCTCAAGTACATGTGGAATCTGAAAAGCTATTGCATAGAAATTGAGAGTAGAAGCTGGGCGCCCGTGGCTCCCGCCTGTCACCCTAGCTACTGAAGAGCTGAGATCTGAGGATCGCGGTTCAAAGCCAGCCCAGGCAGGAAAGTCCGTGAGACTCTTATCTCCAATAAAAACCACTAGAAAACCAGAAGTGGCGCTGTAGCTCAAGCGGTAGAGTGCTTGTCTTGAGCTGAAGAGCACAGGGACAGCGCCCAGGCCCAGAGTTCAAGCCCCATGACCCACAAAAAAAAGAAAAAGAAAGAAAGAAAGAAAGAAATTGAGAGTGGAGTAGAACAGTGGAGATAGTAGCTGTTAGGGAGGGTAAGGGAATGTTGGTCAATGATACAAAGTTATATTTAACCAATAAAAGTAAGTTCTTATTTTTCTACTCTGTAGCAGGATCCATATAGACAATAATAATTATAATAATTATTACTATAATAATAATGTGCTGTATGTTTCAAAAGAAACAACAAAAAAGGCTTTGATGTTTCAATACAAAGAAAAGATCAATCCATCAACCACTTTGGAAAGCAGCATGGAGATTCCTCAAAAGACTCCACATAGAGCTCCCCTATGACCCAGCAATCCCACTTTTGGGCATTTGCCCAAACGATCACAAACAAGACCATACTAAAGCCACCAGCACAACGATGTTTATCACAGCATTATTTACCATAGCTAAGATATGGAACCAACCCAGATGCCCCTCAGTAGATGAATGGATCAAGAAAATGTGGTAGTATACACAATGGAATTCTATGCCTCCATCAGAAAGAATGACATTGCCCCATTTGTTGGGAAATGGAAAGACTTGGAAAAAATTATATTAAGTGAAGTAAGCCAGGCCCAAAGAAAGATAGGTCCCATGATTTCCCTTATTTGCAATAACTAATATATGTCTAGGATAAGAGAAAAGGTCAAAAGCTATGTAATAAGCCAATCAATAAATGGGCAAATGAGCTAAAGAGAGACTTCTCAGAAGTAAATATGGCAAACAGACACATGAAGAAATGTTTGGCATCTCTGATCATAAAGGAAATGAAAATCAAAACAACTTTGAGATTCCATCCAAAAGAGAAATGTTCTCATTACCTGACCTATGAAATGGTAACCCCTCTGAATAACACTTTAAAATAACAATAAAATTATATTTTTTAAAGACCTGAAAATAGAAGAGGGAGAAAAGGAACTGGGGAAGGGAAATAGGAGAGAGGAAAGATGTACAATATAAAATTAGGAAGCATGAACAAAATCAAAGCGTGTATACATGCCTCACGGAAGTATCACAGTGAAGCATAACCACTTAAACAACGTGCATGTGGTAATTCTTGTAACTTTTTAAGTGTCATGACACTGAGGTGTCTTTCACTGGGAAAGAGTCTCTTGAAGAAACTACTGAGCACACTGGGTAGCCTTATGGAAACAGTAAAGCTTACTACTCCACACATTCAAAGGAACAAACCAATGGCAACCCAGACCAATGATGTGGCCGATGGTGCCCCAGATAAGACCACACAAATATTCCAGGCTCAGCACCCATGAGCTGAGCTTCCATGTGTCCTGGAGAGACAAGATCGGGACAGGCTCCCTGAGACGACTGGGGGTAAGAGAGCTAGAGGCTGCCATCTGTCACAGGAAGCAACAAGGAACCAGGGCCACCTAGCTCAGCCTGCCCAAGGGGCCAAGAGGCCCAGAAGACAAAGATAAACACTAACAGTCAAAAGCCCTAGGAGAAAGCACTGAGCAGACAATGCAGGGCTTTTAACTAACACCAAAAGCACAAACAGTAAAGCAAAACTAGCTGTTGTAACCCATCAAAATTGAAACATATATCAAAGTGCACCTTGGAGCCACAGGACTTCGAATCATGAGTTTATAAAGGTCTACCACACAGAATATTCAAAAACACACAACACCATCACATAAAGAAGCATTCTATTTCTGAAATGAGCGACAGGAATAGATATTTCTCTAAAGAGAAAATGGTGAGCAAACGCATGTGAAGCTGGGAAACGGAAGAGAGGAGGCCACGGAAAGCCAACTAATAGAGGAGTCTGGCCCCCAGCCCCGTGACCCGGCTCTCCGCCACCATCACAGCCCAGTCCCTGAGGCCCCAGACTCCACCAGCACAGTCCAGATCCCTCCCGGGCCTGCCCCGACTCACTTTCCCCTGAGCAGACAAGTGCGGCATCCTGGCCGTGTGCGCACCGGCGCCCAGGCTCCCTTGGGCAGTGGAACAGCAGCGACTCGTTGCCCACACAGCGGAAGGCCTCCGTCCACACAGGCCCTGACCCCTGGCCGAAGTGGGCGCCCCCAGGTGTGGACACCGCCACCCCGCAGCCCAGCTCCCGGCACACCACGTGGGCTGTGGGCAGGTCCAGGTCAGCATCGCAGACCGTGCCCCAGGTCAGGCCGCGCAGGACCTCCAGGCGCCCTGCACAGGGGTGGTCGCCGCCCGCCAGGCGGGCTTCCACGTGTCCTGGAGGAAGACACCAAGCTGGAGCAACCAAGGGTAGGGAAGGCTCCATGCAAACTACTGAGCTCAAGTGGCCACCGTTCAGCCCTCCAGGACCCAGGACAACCTGACATAGTTACACCCCAGGGTCCAGAAGCCCAAGGGTAAGTCGGGGGTCTGCAGACTCAGGGCCTTGCCACCCCTCTCCAGACCTCACAAGTGTGCCAAGATCACAAAGACCCATGGTTCCCTGGCATCTGGAAGGACATGGCTGACTGGGACCGCACAGGCAGAATAAGTGCGCACTGCCCCTCAGCCCCAGAACACAGGCCAGATAGAGATCTGAGCTCTGCCCACCGAGACTGCTGCCTGGGGCTTTCTTGAACCTCTACCCAGTAGAAATGCAAAATCCTATCAACCACCATCCACAAGAAAGGTCTCCATTCACCATGTCCCCATGTGGTGAGGCAGACCCAAAAACACAGCCAAAATGTGCTGGCCCAGGGGCTCTCTACCTGTGCACACCACTTGGGTGTAGGTTGGACGGTAACACTGCTCTAGGAAGTTCACGTTGATCTTGCACTGGAAAATGTTGGCCTCTGTCCCCTGACAGGACACAATCTTCTGCTCCTGACTCTCAGGGTCCCCTCCAGGGTAGGTTCTCGACCACTGCAGAGCAGCGCCGCACTCCAGCTGTCTGCAAAACACACTTGCCTCCTGCTGCTGCAAGTCACACCGCAGGGCGAAGCCAGCAAGGTTGATTGACTCTGGGGTCCCTGCACAAGGGCTTCCACCGCCGTGCAGTCTAATTTTTCCCAAGGTACTCCCTAGTGGGATGGAAGACAAACAGACCTGGAAGCTGGGCACAGATTCTCAGCGGTGCTGTGACCAGCCTCACGCAGCATCCACAGCACCCAGGGACACATTCCAGAGCACCGTGGCCACAGCCCCACCCATCACCCTCAGGATTGTGGGGCTGTGGGCTAGTTGCACACAGCACCAAGAAGCTGCCAGGGGAACCCACGACAGGACACCTGCCCGGAGTAGCCAGTGGGTTCCTAACTGCCCCCTGGAGAATCCAATGGGTAACTGCACCCCCTGGAGTATCCAATGGGTAACTGCCTCCTGGAATATCCAATGGGTAACTAACTGCTCCCTGGAGTATCCAATGGGTAACTAACTGCCCTCTGGAATATCCAATGGGTAACTAACTGCCCTCTGGAGTATCCAATGGGTAACTGCTCCCTGGAGTATCCAATGGGTAACTGCCCTCTGGAGCTGTACTCAGCACACAGCAAGAGCTTGTGAAAACACTCTGCTGAGGTAGCCCAGGACGACCCAGGAAAGCATAGCTTTGGTGGCTAAATGTAGAAACCTGGAAATCCTATGAACAGTGATCAAGACAGAGTCCCACACAGGGGAGAGCAGAGATGCATTGGGACAAAGAGGAAAGCCCTCATCCTGCATCAGGAGGAAACCCCAGACCCCTGAGAAAATGAGGCACCACACCTGGGCCAGACTGGTCCTCCTCCCCTCTGGATCCTGAACAAGGAAGGAAGTCCCAGAACTAGGAGGGCTGGGAGTCCTCAGCTGACCTACTTGAGCAGATGATTGACACCACACATTGGCACTTGCAGTCGGCGATCAGGCCCCAGCTCCCCAGCGAGCACTCCCCGAGGGTGGCCTCCTCCCCCTGGCACTGGGTTCCAAACAGCCACAGCCCACTCATCTCTTCAGGCCGTAAAACAAACTGAGGAGCAGCTAGTACATGGCCACAGTCAAGCTGTCTGCAGGTCACTGTGGCCTCCCGCAGGCCCCAGTGGTCCCCACACACAAAGCCCTGCTGGCCATGATGCTGAAGGTGCAGACGGCCCTCACAGTGGTTTGTGCCATCCAGGAGAGTCACAGACTCCGCTCCAGCCGGACCTTCAGGAAAAGAGCACAGGATGGTACAGAAGATTGTGGGGGATTTTTGTTCAGGAGGGTCCATGTTAGAAAGCTTGCCCTTGTTTTCCACCCAGACCCCTCCTTATCTCATGGGAATCAGTACACAGTCACTGTGGTAAAAGGGAAGTTCACAAAAATGAGCACAAGGAGATGTGGTATCAGAACTGTGTCTGACTTCCACCCTGAGCAGACAGCAGACCTGGGTCCCTGGCCCCAGGACTGCAGACAGCAGCAGAGCATACTCACCAGGGGGAGAGGCCCAGCAGGCCAGAAGAACAGCCCCCAGCCCCAGAGGGGAGAGCGCCATGTCTGGCGGGCTTGCGGCTGCAGCTTGTCAGGCTGCAGTCTGGGCTCCGGCAGCTGTGCTCTGCCTCAGGAGAGGACGCTGCGCTGGGGCTGTAGCATGAGCTGTGGTGCCTCCTCCACAGCAGAGCTGTTCTCTGCCACCCTGCGCAGGTGCTCACCACCGGGCTGTGGCCAGGCCCCCCAGCAGCCCAGTGTGAACTAGTTGTGGTTCCTGCAGCTGGCGTCACACACCTCCAGGTGTGACGGGTCCAGGGTCCCTGTACAGCAGCGTTTTGGCTGCCACGAACAAGGCCATGCAGGAGAGCATGGGCTTCCTCTGCCTCACACGAAGATGGGGTGTCCTTCCAGGATCAGTATGTCACGAACAGGCAGACTTTGCAATCTGATCACAATGCCCAAAAGCACGCAAGCCGAGTGACCAGCCAGGATGGACACAGGCTCCTTTGAGGGTGTGCACTTAGAGGCAGCCGAGTGCACTGCCTAGGAGGTGCAAGTCAGCTGCACAAAGACGGGTGGAAAACTAAGGACCATCTGAACAAGGGACACAATGCCACTTAGATTTATTTATTGGAAAGCTACTGAGGAGGACTGACTGTCAAGGGCAAATCATACAGAAAATCCAATTATTCCAATTGGGCCCATCACTATGCATTTCTGAAAGTAAGTTTCATCAAATATATCCCATACTTTAACATATTTAATGGTACATATTTTCTCACTTATGTGGAAGCTAGATCTCAAATACAACTGGACATGATAACCTATACAGGACTCTAGCATTCAGACAGAGTCAGACTAAAGAGGATACTCAGGGGAGGAACCCAAAGATGTCACGCCTCTGAACATTTAAAATAGTATTTAGTAAAACAAATTCTGGAAAATGGAAGCATGGAGTCCTTTGCTGGTGGTGGTGATGGTGGCATGTGTTTTTGCTCTGGGATTTATTTTTGTCATTTTAGCAGAGGCAAAGTGGGGCACAGCAAGGGAGGGGAAGGGTGAGCAAAGCGATCATGGTATTCAGCATACACTGAACAGAAAATGAACTATGCAACTTGTGGGCAGAGATGAGAGGGGGAACTGGGGGAACACAAAGGAAAGGGGTGACATTGTCCAAAAAGAAATGCATCATTACCTCACTTATGAAGTGGCGATCCCTCTGTACAACACCTCAACAATAACAATAAAATGTATTTTGAAATCATTTTAAGCAATAAAACATTCCAGATTTTCTATTTTCTTACGTATTTTCTGCCTTCATATTCTAAAGATCTGAAAATAAGCGTTCAATTTTGTAAACAAAATAATCTCAGTCAAAAAGATATGTTGAGTCCACTACATAATTTGTTGGATCCATAGTAAGAGGAAGGTAACAGTCCCCTCAGTGAGACTTACTAAAAAGTCAAGATGGCGGTGCGCAGCCACCTGTGAGCCCCGAGGAACTGCAGTCATGCCAGCAGGCCTGTGAGGACAAGGCTGGGTGGGAAACTGCACAGGAAGACAAGGGGCTGTGAACACACCTCATGGCACAGGTTCTCTTCAACGTCAGTCCAGGACCCAGATGCAGACGCACAGGTATACGCGGCTGGCATGGGGCCCAGATTCTCCTAAGCAGGAAGGACTCACACGGAGACCCTTCCTGCACTCACCACCCCCCTGCTCCCTGCTCCATGTCCAGTGCAGCCATGGCCTGGCCTGAACGTGAACAGGCCAGGCCCCAAGACACACATCACCACACCTGGTGTCCCAGTCGTTCACTCTGCCCAACAAATGCCCACAGGATTTCTCATCAGTACAAGCAGGCATTTGAAACACTTCGAATTTTATTAGAAGAAAAAGCGGAACACCTCCTACTCAAGGGGGACAGGGGACTTCTGTGCTTCTGGAGGGAAGAGAGTCGGCTCTGGAGAGGAGAAAGGGAAGGGAGCCCAAGGTCTGGAGAGCACAGCAGGAGGTGATCACAGACCAGTGACAAGGGACGGTGGGGAGGGAGCCAGACTTCTGCCTTGGGAGTCTCTAGCAAACTTGGCCTCCTTCAGCTGACCTCTCCTGCTTCCACACTGTCTTCTACCAGTCCATGAGGGTCGGAGGATGTGGAGGATTGCACGGACACAGGAAGCCACCAGCATCAAGTCATCCCCAGAACGAGGGTAGCAGTGACCTACACTAGGAGTGTTCTTAGCCCATCACCCACCAGAACCCCAGGAAGCAATTCTTACACAAACACACCACAGGATTCATCCTGCCTGAGGGTTCCGGTTTGTTCTCCACTCCAAGATACCATGGGGACCATCGTAAATGACACAGGAGAGTTCAGTGATCACCAGGAAAACATGAGAGGCCTCTGTAAAGGCCATCATGAAGATTTATTATGCATGAAGTCTATTCTCCGCGGGCCACCATGGTCTGGTCTGTACTAGATCACCATGATAGGCTATTCCAAACCAGGTCACCATGAGGGTCTACTCGATGCCCACCCACCGTGAGAGTCTCTTCTACACAAGGTCACAAAGAAGGCCCACTCTACATCAGGAAGGCATGGGATTTCATTGAATGGTAAGAAGCCCAGAGGTCATCTGACATAAGAACACTACTCAAGGACACCATGGGAACCACTGGCTTCCAGGACCTCCCCATGTAGATGCCACTCTACATGAAAGCACTATAGGTCCTTCACTGATACTATGACTAAACACTCAAGACACTCAAAGAAGTCTTTTGACTCAGGTTTAGAGGTTTCAGTCCATGGTTGGTTGCACCAGCTGCTTTGAGGTCTCTGGAGAGACAGAACATCATGATGTGGTACATGGTAGAACTTAGCTGCTCACCACACAGTGGCTAGGAAACATGAGAGAGGGAGAAGAGGGAGCTGAGACCCAAATGCCCTTTCAAGGGCATGCATGCACCAAATGACCAAATTTCCTTACACTGTATTCCATGAGATCTGACACCTTCTAGTAACAGGAGAAGCTGGTGCCTAAGCATCAAAACAGAGCCTTTGGAGGTAATTTAAGATCCAAAGTCAACTGACTACATTCTACCCAAGGATACCATGGGGGTCCACTATCCAAAAGAACTTCATCAGGGCAATGCTTTTTAAATTACGATTATTTCCATTCATTTGCAGACATTTTCCTGACCACACAGAAAAGAGAATGGCCAGGATTCCCAGAGGGAATGAAGATCTGGGCCTGAATGTGTGTCTATTGAGGGCTAATCAAGGTGTAAAGGCCATAGGCAGTGGTCACTTGTGAGCAGCTGATAGATGGAGATGAAAGTGTAGGTGTGATCACAGGCTCATTAGGAGAGAAAAGCAGTCACATGGAGAATGTGGTCTTGGATGAACGTGGTCAGGACATGGAGAATGTGGTCTTGGACCACGTGGTCAGGACATGGGGAATGTGGTCTTGGACCACGTGGTCAGGACATGGGGAATGTGGTCTTGTACACGTGTGGTCAGGATATGGAGAATGTGGTGTTGGACACATGTGGTCAGGACATTGAGAATGTGGTCTTGGAAGAACGTGGTCATGACATGGAGAATGTGGTGTTGGACATAAATGGTCAGGACATGGAGAATGTGGTCTTGGATGAACCTGGTCAGGACATGGAGAATGTGGCCTTGGATGAACGTGGTGAGGATATGGAGAACGTGGTCTTGTACACATGTGGTCAGGACATGGGGAATGTAGTCTTGGATGAACGTGGTCAGGACATGGAGAATGTGGTCTTGGACACATGTAGTCAGGACATGGAGAATGTGGTCTTGGACCATGTGGTCAGGATATGGAGGATATGGTCTTGGATGACCATGGTCAGGACGTGGAGAATGTAGTCTTGGAAAAATATGGTCAGGACATGGAGAATGTGGTCTTGGACACATGTGTTCAGGACATGGGGAATGTGGTCTTGGAGGAAGGTGGTCAGGACATGGAGAATGTGGCCTTGGCTGAACATGGTCAGGACATGGAGAATGTGGTTTTGGACACATGTGGTCAGGACATGGAGAATGTGGTCTTGGACACATGTGGTCAGGACATGGAGAATGTGGTCTTGGACACATGTGGTCAGGACATGGAGAATGTGGTCTTGGACACATGTGGTCAGTACATGGGGAATGTAGTCTTGGATGAACGTGGTCAGGACAAGGGGAATGTGGTCTTGGATGAAGGTGGTCAGGACATGGAGAATGTGGTCTTGGACACACGTGGTCAGGACAAGGGGAATGTGGTCTTGGACACATGTGGTCAGGACATGGAGAATGTGGTCTTGTACACATGTGGTCAGGACATGGGGAATGTGGTCTTGGACACATGTGGTCAGGACATGGAGAATGTGGTCTTGGACACATGTGGTCAGGACATGGAGAATGTGGCCTTAGATGAACGTGGTCAGGACATGGAGAAGTGGTCTTGGATGAAGGTGGTCTGGACATGGAGAATGTGGCCTTGGATGAACGTGGTCAGGACATGGAGAATGTGGTCTTGGATGAAGGTGGTCAGGACATGGAGAATGTGGCCTTGGACACATGTGGTCAGGACATGGAGAATGTGGCCTTAGACACATGTGGTCAGGACATGGAGAATGTGGTGTTGGATCATGTGGTCAGGACATTGAGAATGTGGTCTTGGATGAAGGTGGTCTGGACATGGAGAATGTGGCCTTGGATGAACGTGGTCAGGACATGGAGAAGTGGTCTTGGATGAAGGTGGTCTGGACATGGGGAATTTGGTCTTGTACACATGTGGTCAGGACATGGAGAATGTGGTTTTGGACACATGTGGTCAGGACATGGAGAATGTGGTCTTGGATGAAGGCGGTCTGGACATGGAGAATGTGGCCTTGGATGAACGTGGTCAGGACATGGAGAAGTGGTCTTGGATGAAGGTGGTCTGGACATGGGGAATGTGGTCTTGGATGAACATGGTCCGGAATGCTCTCTGAAGTGTGGTCGTGAAGGCATTGAACACATCCCCAAGTGTCCAGTATGTGTTGGGACCACGACAAGCCAGGTTGGACTCTCAGGTCCTCCACCTTGGGCTGAGGCAGCACAGCCCTGCCTACAGTTGACAGGAGGTACGTAGAAACCCACATACTCCTCAGAACTATGAGGAAAGGGTGACCAGAAAACCCATAAAGGCTGCTTTAAACATGAGGACAAAAGTCTGCAATGGGGCAGAACACAATGAGGGCCATAGTAGAGTATGACAAGTTTCTGGGAAAGACTGAGGATGGATGGGTGGGTGGGTGGACAGATGGAGGGATGAGCTCCAAAGGAGCTTAATACCATGTTTAAAGAATGAGAACGAGGAAGACCCCGGTCTCCTGGGTTCCTTTATACCATGCTCTGGACAGGCTCATGTCCCCTGAGGTCAGTGCGGGGTCATCACATGCTGGCCCGTGCCAAGATCTGTGCTGGTCTGAGCATCAGGACCAAGGCTGTCAGGAGCCCCATCTGTGTTTGACAAGAGACATACCCAGTCACCTCCAGGGACTGCTCAGAGTGCCAGGCATCCTCAGCCCTGCTTTCCCTCTGCATAGTGACACACAGCTGCACAGGACCGGGCAGGTGACAGTGAGATCGCTTCTCACACTGAGACCGCCTCCCCTGCCACTGTGCACCAGGGTCCCTCCAGAAGGTGCTTGAGAACCCTCTGGGCACGTATGAAAGAGCTCAAAAGGAAACCAAAGCCCACAAGTCTGCCTGTTACAAGACTCTAGCCTACGGAGCAGCTTTAAGGGCAAAATGCCCTAGGCCAGAGATGGGATTGAGGCTCAGGGACACAGAAAAGCAACGCTGATTCTTTAAATATAGGTGCCAGCCAGAGCAGAGCTCCCTGCATGAGAACAGTACAGCAGGAGGAGGGCCACGGACCCCAGGGCACAGAGGTGCACACCCGCCGGGCTCAGGAAGGCCCCGTCCTCCTCTTCTTCCTCTTCCTCCTCCTCCTCCTCCTCTCCAGAGTCTTCCTCTGTGTCTCCCACATCGTCATAATCCTGCTCCTGCACCAGGTCTCTGGACACTGTGGGCTCCTCTTGCTTCTTCTCCACAGAAACAGCTTCAATGTGCTCGTAGATACCTTCTGATGGCAAGTGCCCAGACATTCCAGAACCTGCAAACGCCACACCAGAACCACCTAAGACAAAGCTCTCCTGCAGGTGGAGCCCTCCCTGGCCCTGTATCCCCCATGGGTGCTAAGACAGATGAACCCCTTACTGCTGGGCACACAGGCTGTGTCCTAGGGAGAGATGGCTGGTACAGGCACTACACTTATTCCTGAGTGATAATGAAGGGGTTGGGTGGCAGACAAATATTTCCAGAACCCTGAGAAGACAACATCTCTTCATCCAGCCTATCTCAGAAGAAGAGGGGACTCTTCTCCCAACAGCTCAGGCATGCAAAGAAGTCCACCCACTCGCGGCTGGCCTGGAGACTAGCTAGTACACACGGCAGGGACCAGAGCAGAGAGGACCTGCTGTGGCCATGGTCTCAGAGTTTCTCCCCACTCTGAGTCGTCACATACCCATGCTGGCAGCTCTGCCTCGGCACCACAGAGCACCCAGGCCCAGGAGGGTCAGGGCCAGAGAGCAGCCAAGGACCAGGCAGGAGATCTCAGGCAGAGTCCAGACCAAATGCACAGGCAGAGGAGCTGGAGAAGGGGCTGTGGGCACAGAGAGAGGCGGGGCCTCCTGTGGGCCTGAACTGCCCAGGGCTTTGTGACCCTCAGCCCCTCAGGAAGGGGCGGGGCACCCACAAGGCCTCCAGACGTCTGCACAGACACGGCCCCAGGCAGAGGGCCAACCTGCTGGTGCGCAGGGCCCGCGTAGGAGCATCTAGGTGGAAGTTCCCAAGTGGACCTGCAGAGACCGTGGGTGGAAGGACCCCAGGGAGGCCCCTTGGAAAGTCCCGGTGAGAGAATCCCGCTGTGTGCACTAAGGCAGGGTGCGGGTGGGACCTGGTGTGGGCCCCAGGGTCTCACTGTGGTCACTGCCCTCCTCAGCTCCGCGTTGGACGTGAGCTGTGACACCCAAATGTGCTGGACCCCACAGTCAGCAAGGGAAAGACCTAAGAAGTAGCCGCTGGAGAGCTGGGGCCTCTGTCCCCCACAGGGTCAGGAAAAAGCATTGCCCATGTAGGCTGGGCAGCCATCCCTAAAGGGCCGGACCAGCTAAAGAAGAGATGACGGGCCAGGATTCCACAGGTGCCCAGCACTGGGCAGAGCTGAGATCCACCTCAGGCCGTCTAGGCACTGAGGGGCAGGAGGAGAATGGGCGTGAGAACAAGTCGCCTACCCAGTGCCGTGGCACCTGCAGGAGAAATGCTGGCGGGAAGGCATCGACTGCCCTCAGCAGCACATCCTGTGCCCCACAGATGCCTGTGCTGCCCTACCCAGCAGAGCCTCTGCCTCACGGCCCAGGCGAGGCGATCTGCCCGAGCAGAAGGTAGGATCACCCTAAACTCGCCCCCGGGCCCTCACCTGAGCACCGCACGCCCGCGTCCTCCTTGTGGGTGCAGTCTCCGCGTCCCCACGGCTCCGCGGGGCAGCGCCACAGGGACGCCTCGCTGCCCCGGCAGCCCACCTCATCCAGCCACACGGGCCCCGCGCCCGGGCCGAAGGCGGCCCCCGGCGCGGCCTCCACGGCCCGGCCGCAGCCCAGCTGGCGGCACGCGACCTCCGCATCCGCCAGGTCCCAGGAGTCGTCGCACACGGTGCCCCAGGAGCCCGCGTGCCAGAGTTCCACGCGCCCGGAGCAGCCGTCGGGGCCCCCGATCGCCCGCAGAGCGCCCTCCTCTGGAAGGAGATGTGAGGTTAAGGTGGCGTTGCATCTGGATGTGCAAGGCAACTGGGAGGCAGACTGACGGTACCGTGGCAGCTGAGTGGGGATGAGCAGTTGAGTGTCTCCCCAGAGGCCTGTGGTACTGCCTGTGAATGTCCTGTGGGAAGACACAGAGCGTAAACCCCAGGAACTCCACAGAATCCAGCTGTGGGCCACCATGACCCACGGGCAGGGCCTGGGCTCTGGCAGACACACAGCCTTCCACGGCACCTCTGAGACCACAGCACCCACCTGAGCAGGAGATCCAGACCTCCTCTCCTGGGGCACAGGACTGAGGGTGCCAGGGCGAGGAGGGACACTGCCACAGAGTGGAGCTGTGTGGCCTGCGGCACTCAATTCTGTCGACCCAGGAGATGCCTGAGCCTGCCGGAGCCGGGGGCCTGCTTTCCAGCCAGCCCCAGTCCCCACACCCCAGCTGCCTGCAGATGACAGTCACGGAGACATCCCTGAGGGCATTGCTGCACACAGCACCCCAGGACCCATTGTACAGCACGTCCAGCCACCCAGCACAGTCTCTGCTACTGCCTCGAAGCCTCAGTGCCACGGACTCTGCAGGACAAGCACAGAGAAGCCCTGTGTCAGGCTCCGAGCCTGTTCTCAGAGGGAGAAGCCCAGCAGAGGGCATCTCAGCTGCCCTCAGTGTCTTACCCAGCATGCCCTTGGCATCACTGGCACATGGGTAGATCCATCTATTGTGAAAAATAGTGAGGAGGGTACTCAAAGACTAGAAATTCCATGGGCTCCAGTTATGCCACAGCTAGATATATATCTAGTGTGGTTTTAAGGAAATGTCTCCAAGAGACTCACTGCTGAAGGCGTGGTCCTTCATCTTCCGCTAGTGCTGCGACTTGAGAAGACGATGGAATCTTTTGCTGGTGGGGCCTTGTGGGAAGTAGGGTGCTAGGGGTGCTTTGGAGACTGTGCTGTCCTGTGCCTCTGTTTTCTCTCTGTTCTCTGGCACCATGAGCTAGGCTCCAGAGTTGCCCTTACCCTCCCTATGAGCTCTATTCCTGGCCCAGAAACAAATGGGCTGACGAAAAATCTGACACAGTACCCAAAGGAAATTGTCATATGTCAAAGACCCATGACCCTCTTTTCATTGCACATACATGTCCATTAGCACATAAATGACGCAGGAAATGCTTTTCTGGCTATACATATAGATATGAAAACAGATATGGATAAAGAAGAATGTTAGCCTTTTAAAAAAGAATCCTAAGTGGGAATGATAGTGTGTGCCTGTAATCCCAGCCTCACAAGTAGGAAATACAAGTAGGAAGATTATAGTTCAGGCTGGCCTGAGCGTGAACTCAACACACAAAGTGCCAAAAGCCAGTTGTCCACACTTCAACTCAAGGCACTCAAGAGGCTGAGACCTGGAGGATTAAGGTTCAGAGTTAGCCCAGGCAGAACCAAGACTCCGTCTTTTATTAACCAGTAAAATGCCAGGCTGGAGATATGATCCACATTGAGTGTCAGTCATGAAAAAAAACAAGTAAAAGAGAGCACTAGGCCCTTGGTTCAAGCTTTGGTACTAGAACTATATATCTCCAATGTAAAAAGGGTTGAGTGGGTAGCTCAAGTGGTAGAGCCACTGCCTGACAAGTGCCCAGCCCTGAGTTCAAACCTCAATACTTAAAAAAATAGAAGATGGAAGGAGGAAGAGGATGAAGGAGGAGAGGAGAAATGATCACACGTAATAATCGACAGCCCTAGAGAATATCGCATTAAATAAATCAGACACATAATGACAAATAGTGCATAATATAAAATATTAAATATAAAAATATAAAATGTTAAATACAAAGAAACAAAATTAAATTGTGGGGAAGTAGGGAAGAGGGAAGTAGGTCAAAGGAAGGCAAGTTTAAGATTAAATGTGTAGCAGAGAACTAGTGTCAGTATATTGTATTGTATACTAAAAACCAGGCTAATAGAAAAGATTTCACATTCTTTTACCACAGAAACAAAATTAGGTGAATTGCTGGGTATCTTAATTGACTCGATTTTGGCAATCATTCCAGCATACATATGTATATCAAAGCACCACACACTTTTAAATACATACAATTAAAAATAAAATAATGGGATGAGGAAAGTAACGGCTTTGAGGAGTTGCCGGAAGTTTTTCAGAGAGTGAAAAGGGAAAAGCATCCAGATCCAGGGATCTAGATCCTAATGGATTTGGTCTACAAATATTCTCCAGGATACAGTGAAGCCACAACATAACCATACTTCCTGCAGCACTACTTACCATGGCCCAAGTAAGGAATCAGTCCAGATAGCCCTCAATGGACAAAGGGATCAAGGAAATGTGCCGTGCGCGTGTGTGCACACGCACACACACACAAATGTGCACACACACATGTACGTACACACACAAATACACATGCACACACAAACACGCACGTACACACACACACAAACATGCACGCAATGGAATTTTACTCATCCTGGAAAGAATGATATTTTACCATTTAAAGAAATGGAAAGACCAGAGAAAATTATGTTAAATGAATTGTCAGGCCTAGAGAGACACAGGGTGAATATTTCCCTCATATGTGGAATATGGATTAGTTTGCAGACTCATAAGTAAGTACATTGAATGATACCTACAAATGGGGCTGGGAAGATGGCTCTGTGGTAGAGTGCTTGCCTTGCATGCATGAAGACCTGGGTTCAATTCCTCAGTACCACATACACAGAAAAAGCCAGAAATGGCACTGTGGCTCAAGTGGTAGAGTGCTAGCCTTGAGCAAAAACAGCTCAGGGACAGTGCCCAGGCCCTGAGTTCAAGCCTCAGGACTGGCAAAAAAAAAAAAAATGTAAAATGGTAAATTCAAGGGAAAACTCAAACTATAATTCCTTAGAAAGGCAAAGTCACAGCTCAACAAAATAAACACACTAGGAAGCTGGCATTTGAAAGGGGTGGACCTGGGGAGAAGAGGGGGAGAATTCAGCCAAGAAGTCAATGTATATCCTACCAAATTAAGAGTAAGGGAGGAGTGGTTAGGAAAGAGACAGCTGGGAATGTTGGAAAGGGTGACATTGATCTAAATGGACTGTCTTCATAAACTGCTCTATTAAACGGTAACTCCTTTGCACAACTACTTAAAGATAAATTTTAAAAAGAAAAATAATCCTCTCCTAGAGTCACATGTGTGTGTATATGTGTGTGTGTGTGTGTGTATATATATATATATATACATATATATATATATATATATATATATATATATGGCAGAGAGAAAACAGCAAGAGTATCAAGTCACATAGGAACCCCACCGTGCTGCTAGCAGATTTACCATCAGACCAGAAGAAAATTCAAAGTCCTAAAAAAGAAAATGCCAGCCAAGAATACAATATCCTTTAGGAAAGGATAATTTGCAAGTCAAGTAAACACTGAGGACTTCATCCACACATCAGCCTTATAAGAATGCTTACAGAAGCCTATTCTAGAAGCAAGAGGATGAGAAATGGCATCATGAAAACATACAAAAAGACAAAATTCAGCAGTAGAGCATATGTACCAAAGAGAGGAGCTGGAACACTAATACCAACCCACAAAGACGATCAAAAGAAGAAGGAAGAAAAACAATACAAATGCACCCAAAACACTAACAAAATGGCTCGCGTGCGTATTTAACAATAATAGCTTTGAATGTAACAATATTAACTTCCTCAGTTAAGTTATGACCTGGCCACCATGTGTTACCCACAAGAAATTCACCTCACCAGAGAAGACACGGACCAGGAGGGAGGAGAGCAAAAGCATTACAGCAAATCAAAGCTTAGGAGACGTAGCTGTGCTCATATTAGATAAAGAAGGTCAAGTTAAAATCAGAAGAAAAAGAGCCGGTCCCCCGCGGCTCACACCTGTCATGCCAGCTACTCCGGAGGCTGAGATCTGAAGGTCATGTGTCGAAGCCAGCCCGGGAAGGAAAGTCCATGAGACTTCTCTCCAGTGAGCTTGGTGCCCGGCTGCCCCCGGGACTCCTCGGAAGCCGACCCACCTGAGCAGAAGACGCCCGCATCCTCCTTGTGGCTGCAGTCGTGCCGGCCCCAGCCCCGCGAAGGGCACTGCCACAGGGCGGACTCATTGCCCAGGCAGCCGACTTCGTCCATCCAGATGGGCCCTGCGCCCGCCCCGAAGCGCGCGGCCCCCCGGGCGCCCAGGGCGCGGCCGCAGCCCAGCTGCCTGCACACCACGGCCGCGTCCCGCAGGTCCCACGCGTCGTCGCACACGGTGCCCCACGTGCCCCGGCGGAGGATCTCCACGCGGCCCGCGCAGCGGCCGGAGCCCCCGGCCAGGCGCACGCGGAGGCTCCCTGCGGGCCAGGAGGGACCCGATGGGAAGATGGGACGGGGCGGGGCGGGGGACAGGATGGGACCAGCCGGGGACGGACACGGGATGGGGCGGGGCGGGACGGGACCGGACACGGGATGGGGCGGGGCGGGGCGGGGCGGGACACGGGATGGGGCGGGGCGGGACCGGACACGGGATGGGGCGGGGCGGGGCGGGACCGGACACGGGATGGGACGGGGCGGGACGGGACCGGACACGGGATGGGGCGGGGCGGGGCGGGACACGGGATGGGGCGGGGCGGGGCGGGGCGGGACACGGGATGGGGCGGGGCGGGGCGGGACACGGGATGGGGCGGGGCGGGGCGGGACCGGACACGGGATGGGGCGGGGCGGGGCGGGACCGGACACGGGATGGGGCGGGGCGGGGCGGGACCGGACACGGGATGGGGCGGGGCGGGACGCGGGATGGGGCGGGGCGGGACGCGGGATGGGGCGGGGCGGGGCGGGATGGTAAGGGCCGGGACGGGGCGGGGCAGGACCGGACGGGATGGGACCAGATGGGACGGACACGGGGTGGGACGGGACGGGACCCAGGCCCGCTCACCCGCGCACACCACGCCCGCGTCCCTCGCGGCCCCCGCGGGCCCCGGCGCCGAGGCGGACACGTCGCACTGGCTCAGCCGGGCCTCGGAGCCCCGGCAGCGCACGCGGCTCAGCAGGGCGCGGCCCGCGCCTCGGACCGGGGCCGGCGCGTCGTAGGCCCGCTCCGCAGCCCCGCAGCCCAGCTGCCGGCACACCACGGCCGCGCCGCGCAGGTCCCACGCGTCGTCCAGCACGCGGCCCCACGCGCCCTCCAGGGCCGCCTCCACGCGCCCGTCACAGCGGCTCTGGCCGTCCCGCAGCCTCACCGCGCCGGGGAGGCCTGCGAGGGAGAGCCGGGCTGGGCGCGGGCAGGGGGCGCGGCGCGCACGGCCACGCGCGCGCACAGCCACGCGTGCACGCACACGCACTCACTCGCACGCGCACTCACACTCGCACACCCACGCGTGCACCCAGGCGTGCACACGCGCACACGCGCGCTCACACTCACAAGCGCACAGCCCCACCGGGCACGGGGCCCCGACCCCCAGCCTCTCCGCCCACCCTCACCCCTCCGCCCTCGTCTCTCCCCCTCCCGACGCCCCGCCCAGCCTCCTCCGGCCCCGCCCCCGCCCCGACGCCCCGCCCAGCCTCCTCCGGCCCCGCCCCCGCCCCGACGCCCCGCCCACCTGCGCAGACGGCGGCCGCCGCGTGTCCCGGGGCGCAGGCCGCCGCCCCTAGCGTGCCCGCGGGGCAGCTCAGCAGGTGCGGCTCGGTGCCCGCGCAGTGGAAGGCGTCCGGCCAGCAGCGCGCGTCCCCGCCGCCGAAGCGGCCTCCCGCGGGCGCGGCCGCCAACGCCGGGCCGCAGCCCAGCTGCCGACACAGCACCGCGGCGTCCGCCAGGTCCCAGTGCGCGGCGCACAGCGGCGCCCAGGCGCCCCGCACCTGCAGCTCCACGCGGCCCTCGCAGGCCTGGCTGCCGTTGACCAGCCGGAACTCTGCGGAGACGGGGCCGCCGTGACCACCGGCGCGGGCGGGGCCGGGCCGGGACACAGAGAACGCGGGGCGCGGGGACACGAGAACGCGGGGCGCGGGGACCGGGACGGGGACACGAGAACGCGGGGCGCGGGGACCGGGACGGGGACACGAGAACGCGGGGCGCGGGGACCGGGACGGGGAACGGGGCGTGAGGACGGGGCGCAGACACGTGCAGCAGGGACGGGGACACGAGAACGCGGGCGGCCTTCCTAGGCCCGTCCTCGCCCCGCCCCGTGCCGGCATGAAGGGCACAGAGCTGAACCCTTGCCCTCCTCAGATCCCCACCTCACCATCCCCCTACCACGGCCCTCAGACTCAGACAAGAGACTCCAGGCGCCCCCTGGGCCCCACGCGGGAAGGCCGGGGCCCGTCCCTTCCCTCTTCTCCACCTCCCCGAGAGCGCGCGGCCCAGTCTGCCAGGAGGATCACGCGCTGGGGCCAGCGCGCCTTAGAGATCGGGCCGGTGGGGACGGTTGAAGGAGGCCAGCGAGGGGGACGCCAGCCAGGGCTTCTTCAAAACCACGTGGGGACTCACCGGAGCACGTGAGCGTAGCATCCTGGCCGTGTGCGCACCGGCGCCCCGGCTCCCTTGGGCAGTGGAACAGCAGCGACTCGTTGCCCACACAGCGGAAGGCCTCCGTCCACCTGCGCCCCGGGCCTTGGGCAGAGTGGGCGCCCCCAGATGTGGACACCGCCATCCCGCAGCCCAGCTCCCGGCACACCACGTGGGCTGTGGGCAGGTCCAGGTCAGCATCGCAGACCGTGCCCCAGGTCAGGCCGCGCAGGACCTCCAGGCGCCCTGCACAGGGGTGGTCTCCGCCCGCCAGGCGGGCTTCCACGTGTCCTGGGAGAGTAAACACCCTTTCAGGTAGAAGACAGATGTTTTAGGGTGAGCAGCCCTGAGTGCCACCTTAAACCACACCAGGCTTCAGTGTGGGAAAATCGTCGGTATCCAGGCAGCAGTCTGCCAACAGCCAGAAAAGGGCAGCCAGAGGCCTGTCACACTTTGGATAGGGGTCAAGGCTTCCTGCTCTGGTGCTCACATTTGTCTCAGGCTCTCTGTGTCCAGACAAGTGGCTTCGACGCTCTTTGCAGCCTCACCAGAGATGCAAGGCTCCACTGGGGCCACTGAGCATGGCCTCGGTGCAGGCCACTGGCAGGTCTGTCCACCTCTTAATACAACCACAGCTCACTCAGACTTCAGGGCACTGATTTACTATCAGACATGCTGGACAGTCGACCTTCACCGCTGAAACAATCCAGAAGGGGCCTGTCCACAGAGACCTTCACAACCTGGTGGTCAGACCCAGGCTACCACTCTGTGACACCAAAGCCTAGTTCCACTCTGGCATTTGTGCCAGCTGAGGCACACATCACCACTTACACTCAGAGTAGCCTGTACACACAGACCTAAGTGCACCAAGCACGCTCAGCGTAGACCCTACACACAGACCTGAGTGCACGGAGCACGCTCAGCGTAGACCCTACACACAGACCCGAGTGCACGGAGCACGCTCAGCGTAGACCCAACACACAGACCCGAGTGCACCGAGCACGCTCAGCGTAGACCCTACGCACAGACCCGAGTGCACGGAGCACGCTCAGCATAGACCCTACACACAGACCCGAGTGCACCAAGCACGCTCAGCGTAGACCCTACACAGACCCGAGTGCACCAAGCACGCTCAGCGTAGACCCTACACACAGACCCGAGTGCACGGAGCACGCTCAGCATAGACCCTACACACAGACCCGAGTGCACCAAGCACGCTCAGCGTAGACCCTACACAGACCCGAGTGCACCAAGCACGCTCAGCGTAGACCCTACACACAGACCCGAGTGCACCAAGCACGCTCAGCGTAGACCCTACACAGACCCGAGTGCACCAAGCACGCTCAGCGTAGACCCTACACACAGACCCGAGTGCACCAAGCACGCTCAGCGTAGACCCTACACAGACCCGAGTGCACCAAGCACGCTCAGCGTAGACCCTACACACAGACCCGAGTGCACGGAGCACGCTCAGCGTAGACCCTACACACAGACCCGAGTGCACCAAGCACGCTCAGCGTAGACCCTACACACAGACCCGAGTGCACGGAGCACGCTCAGCGTAGACCCTACACAGACCCGAGTGCACGGAGCACGCTCAGCATAGACCCTACACACAGACCCGAGTGCACCAAGCACGCTCAGCGTAGACCCTACACACAGACCCGAGTGCACCAAGCACGCTCAGCGTAGACCCTACACACAGACCCGAGTGCACGGAGCACGCTCAGCGTAGACCCTACACACAGACCCGAGTGCACGGAGCACGCTCAGCGTAGACCCTACACACAGACCCGAGTACACGGAGCACGCTCAGCGTAGACCCTACGCACAGACCCGAGTACATGGAGCACGCTCAGCGTAGACCCTACACACAGACCCAAGTACATGGAGCACGCTCCGCACAGCTTCTGCACACAGCCACCAACTCCGCACAGCCTCTGCGGGCAGCCTGAGTGTACCTTCCGTCTGTCCAGTTGGTGCCTGCCGGCCCATCTCTAGTCCTTGTCAAAGGCAGTTATGAGCCAGAGATTCCAGATTTTAAGAAGTTAGCTCTTCCCTTGGCCCTTTAGCCGGCTCTGTTTCCTGTAGGACAGGTCACTGCAAAGGCACCAGACCAAGGACCCTCTGGGCTCCGAGCCCTCCCCTGCCATCTCAGGGGCAGGCATCGCCCCGAGGGTCTGGCGTCCTCACCTGAGCAGACCACCTCTGCATCCAGCCGCAGGTCGCAGCCGCCGCGCAGGTTGTTGTTGAGTCTGCAGGTGCGGAGGGTGGGCTCCGTGCCCTTGCAGGTCATGTACTTCTCCACCACGCCCACGTCTCGGCGGGGGGCTTGGAGCGCGTGGCCACACTCCAGCTCCCGGCAGAGCACCGTGGCCTCCTCCATGTGCAAGCCACAGAGGCGGTCCACCCCGTTCACGTTCCTGATCTCAGGGAGTCCCGCACAAGGACTGTGACCCTTCATCAGCCGGACCTCTCGGAAACTGCCTTCTGTGGAGCACAGACCCAAGTACAGAGGCTCAGACGCTCAGTCGCCTGGAGCCTGCGGCCTGCCACTGGGCCACAGCAACCGCTCCAGGGCACTTGGGCCTGGGGCTGAGACCATTGCTGAAATACCCTGAGACCAGGCCAGCACAGGCCCTCTCCCTCAGCCTGGGGCAGCCACTGCCTGGTAACCAGAAGGCACCTGTTCAAGTCCAATGGAGCCACCCCCTAGAAAGGGCTCGTTTTTTAAACAAAGGCCGCACCAGCACATCACACTGGGCCCCAAGATCACGTCAGGGCCCCGGCCGAGTCCTCCACCTGCAGAAGGAACGCCGGGGGTGTCGTCACAAGCTCATGGACACGAAGCCCCTGGTCTCAGCAGAAGACCCCCACATCAGACCTTCAAGGAAAGCATGTACCTCTCGGTCATTCTTAGCAAACCTTGAGTGGAGGTCCAGGCTGGCCTGGAGCCCTACCCAGGGCCCATGGCACTCCACCCAGCTGCTCTACTCACTTGTTTGCCGGACTCTCCTGGGCAGGCTCCAGGGAAGGCCTTTCGTTACTACCCCCAGAGCACCTGGCATCTGAGCACTTGTTCAACAGAAAGTCACCTTTTATAGCCAGGACATTCGGGGCCCATCCGCTAGCTCCTGCCAGAAGCCGCCTGCACCCCCCTTCCCCTCCCAAGCCCACCTTTGCCCTCTCTGCCCACCCACTACTTACTTGCACAGAGAGCAACCACCACCCACTCGTGGGGGCACGCGCTCTGACTCCACGCCCCAAGGCTGCACTGCCAGAGGGAGGGCTCCCTGCCCCGGCAGGTCACATTGTGCAGCCACGGCTGGCTCCACTCTCCAGGCAGGGGGACGTACTTGGGGGCGCCCACGGCCGGCCCGCAGCCCAGCTGCCTGCAGACCACGGAGGCCTCTGCCAGCGTCCACTCCTGGTTGCACACGTGCCCCCACTGCCCGTGGCGCTGGACCAGCACCACTCCGTCACATGCGCTCTGCCGGTGCGCCAGCCTCAGGTCACCAGGGCCACCTGCAAAGGGACAGACCCCTGAGAGGAGTGGACTGCGCTCGCCGGAGGAGGGGGCGACGTGACAGCCCTCCATGTGACCCCACCCACCCCTGCCCCTCCTTGTCACCCCACCCACCCCTGCCCATCCATGTGACCCCACCCACCCACCCCTGCCCCTCCATGTCACCCCACCCACCCACCCCTGCCCCTCCATGTCACCCCACCCACCCCTGCCCCTCCATGCCACCCCACCCACCCCTGCCCCTCCATGTGACCCCACCCACCCACCCCTGCCCCTCCATGCCACCCCACCCACCCCTACCCCTCCATGTGACCCCACCCACCCCTGCCCCTCCATGTGACCCCACCCACCCACCCCTGCCCCTCCATGTGACCACACCCACCCACCCCTGCCCCTCCATGCGACCCCACCCACCCCTGCCCCTCCATGCCACCCCACCCACCCCTGCCCCTCCATGTCACCCCACCCACCCACCCCTGCCCCTCCATGTGACCCCACCCACCCCTGCCCCTCCATGTGACCCCACCCACCCCTACCCCTCCATGCCACCCCACCCACCCCTGCCCCTCCATGTGACCCCACCCACCCACCCCTGCCCCTCCATGCCACCCCACCCACCCCTGCCCCTCCATGTGACCCCACCCACCCCTGCCCCTCCATGCCACCCCACCCACCCCTGCCCCTCCATGTGACCCCACCCACCCACCCCTGCCCCTCCATGTCACCCCACCCACCCACCCCTGCCCCTCCATGTGACCCCACCCACCCACCCCTGCCCCTCCATGTGACCCCACCCACCCCTGCCCCTCCATGTGACCCCACCCACCCCTGCCCCTCCATGTGACCCCACCCACCCCTGCCCCTCCATGTGAACCCACCCACCCACCCCTGCCCCTCCATGTGACCCCACCCACCCCTGCCCCTCCATGTGACCCCACCCACCCCTGCCCCTCCATGTGACCCCACCCACCCCTGCCCCTCCATGCCACCCCACCCACCCACCCCTGCCCATCCATGTCACCCCACCCACCCCTGCCCCTCCATGTCACCCCACCCACCCACCCCTGCCCCTCCATGCCACCCCACCCACCCACCCCTGCCCCTCCATGCCACCCCACCCACCCACCCCTGCCCCTCCATGCCACCCCACCCACCCACCCCTGC